ATTTAGCTCGGACTCTTCTAAACACATACCAATTGCAACTTTCAGTTCAAATTTTAACATGCAATTCATTTTGATTTAGAGTCGCCACTAAACAATTATTGGAAGTTCAATTAGACACCTAAGCAGTATACTTTACTTCTACGAACTAAAGATTCATGGATATGGGAACTTAATTACGTTAAATTGCTCTAACACCGTTCGGTGCCTTTTTTTTGTTTATTTTCAAAAATATTTTTGTAAGCAATTTGGATTGATTTTAAACATAGCCACTAACATACAATGGGTGTTCATCTGGGTGAACAAGCAATAAAATAACAACCAATAAATCAAAGCTAAAAAGAAAGCAAAACTTCACACGCCACTAACAATGAATGAAATTTTTGGGGTATTTTATTTATCTTAAATTAAAGACCAATCTATAAGCAATGCATGTAATGCAACCCAAACTCTAATGACATGGAAAGAATGTTACTAAGTTAGCATGAAAAACACTATGTATATGACCAAACTTTAATGACATACAAATGAACTGTTCTAAATGAAATGGCATTAATGATGGCATGGAAATTATTTGGCAATGATGTGGCAATGACGTGGGAAGATGCGATGCAACCTATTCTATATGATATGCACATGATGTTTTTGGATTTTTTTTATTAAAATTCGAAATAACTAAATAATTAAAAAAATTATCTAAACTGAAAGATAATCCAACTTGGATTAGGAAATAATTTGAATTAAAACCTATTCTAACTTAGAAACTTATCTTAAACTTTTAGATATCATCTAAACATGCAACCATATCTAAAAAAACTATCCTAATCTATCATAAGATGCAATCTTTTTGTATTTTTTCAAAAAGGGATCTCAATCAAGCAAAATAAGCTCTAAATTGCAAAAGATGAGCTCAAAATCACAAAAGATATCCAATCAATTTAAACTTGGAAACAAATTAACCACTCTTATTTTTAGAAAATCTGATCACCTCCAATATCTTCAATTTCCGTTTATTTTTGTCCTTTATGTGCCCCATAACCCCCACAAACTCCTCTTTCCTAATCCTACCATATACTGCACTTACTTTCTTCAAGACCAGAGAATATGGCCGAATATATGTTCTTTCCTGCGCGTGATCAACTTTCTTTCTCCAAATATTTTTCCCTTTCTTGTTTTTTGATAACATGTGAACTTCGGCCGTCCTGATTCATGGAGAGGAACCAACCATAGTAGGGGGCAAGAAAGCCTGCCAAAATGATATGCTACTTTTAACAACCAACCATAGTAGATCACATATTACATGCTTTCACCTTTTGCGTGAGCCCCCTTGGAAAATAAGAGGAATACAGAAGCCTCGACCCAACTCAAGGGGAGTATGATTGACCATATAAAAAGAACAAGACAATTATGAATTTATCTCTTGTTTAAGAGAATTCTGAGATGGGGTCGGAGGAAAAATTAAAGCGACCACTAATCGTCGCGCGCCCGCGTACACACAGCCCATTGCAACATCCTGAGGAGGTCCTTGAACTTAAGTATTCATATCAGAGGCTTTGTCTCATCACCCCCTTATGTTTTTGCATAGACTAATGAACACATAAAACTACTTGTCATTCAAAGCCATAATCAGGAGTGAATGCAAAAATTCATCACTGCTGAGGATACAATGAGAAGAAAAAGAATACTGATGGTTGCAGATGACTAATCGCTACAGAACAGCTCCAGCACCTACTATCAATGATTCCATTTCATTGGACGATTATCAGATAAGCCAGAGCAAGGTTAAGATCTTTTCCAATTCTCCTAGAAAATCTCTTCAATGATGAACAAAAAGGAAGAAAATCTTCAATCCTCCTCCATCTTTACGTTTACTACCGAGAACTTACGTAGGGCACAGAGCTAATAACTTACATGAAATATCATGGAATATTAAATGTTCAAGGCAACTTGTCACCCCAACTCTATATTACAGCTGCCCAGATAGGCGCGACGTACTTTTAGCAAGCAAAAGATGTCCAGATTCCTCAAAGAAGAAATAAGAAAAGGAAATAACAGAAAAACCTAGAGCAAGCCTTTGCGTAAAGAATCTCGGCACCTAAGGATCACATATGTCATAATGTCTTACAGAGCAACGAGCCAGAATCTTATCATGGCATCAAGAGATAAATTTCATCCGCGCTCCCATTACTCAGAAGCACTACTGAGCAGGATCTTGAAGACTGTGACCTATCCAAAGAATTTGACATCCAAAAACAAGAAATCTGTATACTTCCTGTGCATCTCCATGTGAAGACCGTTCTCTTCAATTGGGGTTCTTATTCCTCAAGCAGCATTCCGCAAACTATGATGTGCCCGCGACAATAAGAGTAAATATCATCCTTTGTCCACAGGGTTGTGTCATAGATGGCTGCTTACATGTGATAAAACCTCATCAATTGTGCTAGCAGCTATCGTGTTTGAATCATTCACAGCATCTTCATCCTTGTATTCCCGAGGGTCCTTGACCGTAAGAGATAACCCTCCTGATCCAGCATGATGCCGCAACTCATTCATAGTCTTCAAGAAGAGCATCATAGAGTGAGATGAATACCTGCCCATAGCATTTTATCGAACAACTGGAATAATAATAATCCCCCTTAATAGCGAAAGAGAAGGTAACATCCAAGACCCATAGAAAACCTCAAACACAAAAGGGAAGGAAACCAAGAAATATGCGAGACATAAGAACAACTATCCGATTAACAAGCTAATCTAGCTAATCTGGCGCGAATCTGTCTCCGCATTTCCACTGGGTCCCTCTCCGCAAGGGCTATTGCGGCAGGCGCGATCCTGTTGGACAGCCAATGCTCCAATTCTTGAAACTCCGTGAAGGCCGCGGCGATGAGAAGGCAGATGGGGACACGGCAAAGGTCGATGTGCCCGTCTTCCCACTTCCGCAGCTCGTCCGGGGGGACGGTGGCTTTCTTCTCCGGCGTGTGCATCTTGCACCACTTGATCACCTTCCTCAGCGATTTCGTGTCGGCTGCCTCCATCAGGACGACCCCGCCGGCCTCCGACTCCGCCTGTCGCTGCCTTACCAATGGTATTTGCAAGGCCACGTCCTTGTCGGCCAGGAAGACTTGGCCTTCCCAGGACTTGAGCCGATAAACCCCAGCGCTTCCCTCCGTCGTCATCGATCGAAGGTGCCACTGGAACGGCGTGGTCCCAAGAAAAATCTTAAAGGAAAAGTTTAGAGAGAAGGCAATTCTTAAAGGTCACGTTAGGAATTCTATGACACCGACCCGCATAATAACCAAAGTCGCGACCCGGGTTGGGTCGGGTTGACAAAAAACGGCTGAAAAAGAAGAATTCTACCAACTCCATTCCTCCAATTCTACGAATTCCATCGCCTCCTCTCACAATCACCCCTCCACAATCTCCCATCTCCCATCTTCCTCTCTCAAAATCCTGATCTCAATCCATGAAAACCTGTCAAGATGCGCCGTTTTCGCTGGCAATGGCGAACAGTGGCGACGGCGACGTTAGGAATCAAGAATCGGAGAATGTCGAAGGGGTCCAATCAAGAACCAGCAACGGTCCTGTTTCTTGGTTTCGCAAAACATCACTAATTTAAAAAATATTTTTCTAATCATGACCGATTTGTAGGGCTTAAGGAACGAGTCGAAACGGAAAATGTTTTCGTCATCAACAAATAACGAAAATATTTTGCTTTGACTTATATTCTTAGGAGATATGAATGGCTAAAATAAGAAAAAAAAATTCAGATGGTTGATTTTTCACGAAGTGAACGGAACTACATTTATTGGTTATAGGATAGAAAAACCAACCCACCCAAATCCGTAGATCTAGAAATATAAAGCGCAAGCGCCGCAACAAAGTTTATATTTCAAGTCAAAAGCATTTCCCCCTCGAAGTCATTATTTTACCCTTAGAAAGAAATTCAGAGGCAAATAAAATATATTATCTCGAGTGTTGCCAACCTCTGAATATATTTTACCGTTAAGAGCTAAAAATTAGAGATAAAAAAAAGTAATTGCAATTGGTATTTGTAATCAACGTCTCAAATAGTCGTCGAAATCAAAGAATTGATGTATCGATCGTTTGGAGGTGAACTTTAATGTAAAACTTGTGCAATCGTTTGGAGGTGAACTTTAATGTAAAACTTGTGCATAATTTGGAAGATCTCTATCCTTATTTTCGTTATTATTATTATACGCCGTCTTTTCAATAATGCTCAAAACACAAGCATAATCTAATGATGTATTAATTTGATTGGGAAAATATCGACATAAAAGTGTAAAATTTTATCGTTCACTTTTTTTATTTGAAGTTTTCCCATTTTTTTTCTTGACCTTTTGTATATTTTTATGTTAAAAAACAGGCTCGATGTCTCAGACCTAATTTGGGCTAACGACTGTAATCCCCTAGACTGGAACCGGCCCGAGCCCACCTGAACCTGCCCGGTTATCCGGTCTCGTCTGCAATTGGAGAGCGAGACCCGTGATGGGAAATACTAAAACTCAAATAGATACACCAAAATGAAAAAATATTTACAGCTAGCGATACAAAAAATCTCGATTGTTTCCCACACCTAATCGATAAGTATGTACATATGTGCTTGTTCCTTTAACATTAGACCAACACTACAACCATCTTATTTCTCTAGCTCCCAACTTCTCACATCATCTCACCCGCACTACATTCTCCATTTCAGACTCTCTTGGAGTGCTTTCTCCGTTATGGACATTATGTGTGAACTGTGTATATAATTGCTCTTCATAGAGCTTAATAATCATCAAGATTAAACGGTTTCAAAAAAACAACAAAAAAACCAGCACAGAATCATCCACATCCCCATAAAACCATACTGCTCGTGAGTTGGTATCGATGTCTAGCTCATCTAGAGAATGTCTCATCTTCGACGAAATGCAATCTAGATGGCATTCCGTCTTTTGTTATAACAAACATAGCAACAGTTTTAAAATGGGCAACAGCGACCGGAATTCTAACAAATGCAGCATATAAGGGAATTAAACAAGCTAGTAGGTCATATATGTTTATGATTACAATGCATTGACAACTGACCTGGTAAAACTGGATTCAACGATAGAACTTTACCATAAATAAATTTCGGTATTGTATTTTGTGAGGGCTAAACCATTGGAAATGGCAATGGTGATAATACCTCCAGTATCACCTGCAGATCCACAGTAACAACATCAAAGACCTACCCACAAGAATTGGAAATGCTAAGCATCTAAATGTTGTAGAATCCAAGAACTCAGTCAAAGAAAATCAGTTACCTAATCTAGGCTCGCCCATCCCACTCTTTGCAGAACTCTTCTAGATACTCAAGCATAAACTTGTGCCGCTTCTCGGCTCTCCTTTGTCCAGCCTGAGCGTTTCAAACACCCACACGACAAAAAAGAAGTTATATTTAAAATTGTCATCTATCAGCTCTGAAAAGAATGTAGTAACCCTTGGAAAGAGCAAGCATGTGGAATTACTACCAAAACGAATATTAACGAAGGTAGGCCCTATATACTGGAAACCCATCTTTTTTACCTTTGTTTTCATCAAATCCTTCAGCTTCAGAAGTTTCTCATAAAAATGATTCAAGGTAGTCTGCTCCTCTTTCTTCATGTAGCATTCCTGGGAAAGATCTGATCGTGGCTGGATGGCAGGATCGTGGAGAACTCTGTTTCTGCTTCCCCCGAAAGTGAAGCAACGAGCTATTCCTGCACGTGACCTTATGTCATACGAGGTGTGCTTTTTTTCTTTCAATCACAAACAGAGAAGTGAATGGAGCAAAGAGAACAGCCCACAAAACCAGTCAGGGAAGGACATACGACTAGCTTATATGGGTAAACATCACAAGGCATCATTAAACTTTCAGTATTTCTCAATTTCTAACACTAAAATTCAATTAGACAAAGGATTATACATAGGTAAGATCAAGAAAATACTATTCAAGATTTCGTTATCATTACCTATGGCCCCAATGGCATCAAGACGATCAGCATCCTGCACAACCCCAAATTCTGGAAATACTTCATTTTCTGCAAGCCCCTTAATCTCATTTTTGAAACCTGACCATGCCAGAATCTGTCATATTAGTTTTCCACCAACATAACAAATATGTAATTTCTAGTAGAATTCCGAATACCAAGGATACAAAAGGATAATCTTGACAGAGTGATGCTTATATAAAAAATAATTGATGGAATGATATGACCAAGAGATTTTTTGAAAATAATCTATTTCAGTGTGACTAGACTGCTAAACTGCTGGTAAACCATATGAATAATCTGATGAGCCACAAATGTTGCTATTCTTCTCTCTCAGAACGGAGTGAATGATACGACATAAAACTAATAAGGCTCTGAATTTAGTTACAAGTATCTATAAACACAAACTCCAGCCACAAGTACACTCATATGAATCACCAAAGAACACGTTTATATAATAACGACAACCTATTAATCTAGGTACTGCAGTAATTCCAATCTCTTCCTGCACAATGTGATTACCAATGAAACCTCCTCCAAAAATAATTGTTTTTCTATCTGCAGATAAAAATATCGATATTGAGAGTTGTAACGAACCAATTCACAGCTTCACGATGACATTTCCAGCAAAAGAGAAGGTGTTCCACAAACCAAGGTCAATAAAATAAAAGGTTTACGTCTCATGCTGCGAGCATAGCACATACCACAAAACATCATGCTCAGAAAATTTACATACTCAAGCGTCATCCACATAATTGAATTGAGATGAATTGACAAAGACACAGTCAACTAACGGTAGAGCAAGCAAAAAACTCCAAAAAATCACCCATACCCCTTCTTATTTAGCTATCGAGAAGGAAAAAGAACTTACCCATTCCCCTTACTATCCTTAAGATCTTGATCTTCTTGCTTTCCTCCACTCCCTGTTCCTCAAGGAAATTCTCAACAATCTTTTCCTCAGACGGATCTCTGCACGGAAAACAGAAACACAGATGGTGACACTGAAAAACCGAATTAAAGAAAGAAACAACAGTTTATTAGCATAGCAAACAAAAAGTATTGCAACATGTCCATACCTTTCCTTTAGTTGCATATGTGACAAAGCTTAAGATATCAAGGATGAAATGCAATTTGATAAGCGAACATACTATGTACCATATGATGCAAAGACGGGTTCTCAGTGAACAATTACACTCACAACACTACTGTGCAATCTTACTTCTAGGGCTGATCAAGAAGTAAATCCAGACCTTAGATACTTGTAGTCACCTGCAATGAGAAACTAATATTAAAAATAAGTTCTTTTTCAACATAAATTGCAGAATATCATAAAAGTGATGGTTAAGCACACGAAAGCAATGTCACAGTAGATTATATGCATGCACAGGAGTTAGTCCAGAGGACCTTTATGAAAAGGGATTGGCAATCGTAGGTTCAGATAATTAACAGACACGTAAATCCACTTTGTAAAAGAAAGGGGAAGAGTCTCAAGTCATCTGCAGACTGCATGTAACAGATCTTTTGTTATAAAAAAAAAACCACAGCCCTTGAGGTCAACACCTTAACTCTTCAGTTGGAAAAAGAGCATGAATGCCAAAGTCAGCCCGGTTATCGTACTCATGATTGTGTAAATATGCAGTCCTCAAGTGAGAGAGAGAGCTGACCTATATCATGAAGAAGTGCAGCAAGCTCTACCTGCAACATCATTCCACAGATTGTAAAAAACCAGATAAAGAAATTCAACACCACTTAAGCTATTCAAAAGAATTAACTATCTTTCAAGAATCTATGTGATAATGCTGTCTCCTTGTGTTGTTTATGCATGTCTGAAAGTGTGTACTGGGGCTTATGTGAACTCCTCACTTCCCAAGTCATCAATGAAGAACAAGCAGATCCATACTTAAATTCCTCACCGACTAAATAGGTGAATAATCTTGAGATATTCGTGCCACATCAGTTTCGTGAACCTTAATGTCCTACTACATGCATTATAGAACCAAATCTAAAATAACATGTTGAGGCACAAACCAATTCAAGGAACGGGTGGCAGAGATTGGCAAAGTTAAAAGTTTGGATCCTTGGTGAGGCATAAACTGATAGCTTTCTCGCTAAAATCACTTCCTTCCAAAGGTCACAACTGTAAAGTAGCATTCTGGTGGAGCAGAAGGCATTCAACATATATAAGGAGCCCATTACGTTTTGCGCTTGTAGTTGTCATTCATCATTTCAAAACATTATGCACTTCTTCAAATCAATCTAGAATTGTGACTCTATCACCCACCAAACTCAAATCCCAGATTACAAAACCTCCACTCAAGCTCTGCAAAACCGAGCTACATCAAACCCAGCAAGCGTCTACTTAATTGCTCATCTCCGATGCTCCTAGGAACCTACTAAGCTGCTGATAGTGCGATAACAACACTATTTCGCTTTAATCCATATTGTTTATGGTTATCTCATTTTTTTTCTTCCCATTAACCGCCGACATTCACCATGAACTACAAAACTTAGTACAGAGTTCAGAACCCAATCGAGAGCAATCTTAATAAAATTTTAGTGTTCCTATCCCAAGTTCCAAATAGCAAAGTGGGTCGCTCTCGTTTGTGCAGCCACTTAACCGAATTGACACAAAAGAGAGATCAGGTAAGCATACGGACAATTTCCATGGAGTCAGGGCGGGAAGCGAGGCCCTCCTCGCGGGCGAGGGAGAGGGCCAGGTCTCTGACCCTGAACACGTGCCAAGCGTCGTGGGACGAGTCGTTCCCTTTCATGTGCCCCTCCATCAGCTTCTCCGCCTCCGCCACCACCACCACCTCCGACCTCCCCATTTCCCCCTGCCTCTGTCTCTCCCTGGGGAGCGCGCCTTTGCTCTCGACGCAGATAGACCGCCGGTGAATCGAAACGGAGTTCCTCAAATACGGCGATGCTGCTTTCGGTCGGGTGCTCAGAGCTCGGGGACGACGGAATTTGTCGCGTCGAGTGATGACTGCTGGACAGGATTTGATGACCCCAAACGAGAGACGCATCCTACGAGGTTTCCGGAAACCATGAACCTGCTCTTGCTCCTTGGATATTATTATTCTCGGTCAAACAAAAGACTTTAGGAGATGTTTTTTCCAAATAAAAGAAAGCTTTATATGGAATTCGATGGAAAATCTCTTCTCCTTTTTTTTAAATCTTGCTTTGACTCGTGTGATCCTAAGATTGGTCTTGTGATGTTTTTTTGGTACTTACGTATCTTCATCCACAAGATTCAATCAACGGAGTAATTTTGTAGTCGGCTAATTTATTATTCATATTTTGATCTCTTCTATAATTCATCTGTTTTTACGCACGGTCGATATCGGCAATTTTTTATTTTAGGTCATCGGAGAATTCTGCCAGCGCAATTTGATTTAAGCGAAAGGAACGAGGAGATATGTCATTGCACAGACGATTTCATTATTTGTAGTAAAGCCAATAGTTTAAGTATTTTTTTTCATCTTCAAAATTTAATGGATATATTAATGATTTCTTTTTAGTCGATGATAATATTTTTTTTACTTGTGATTATCTATATTTCAGTGTTTAATTTGTTTTTCATTCTTTATATTCAAAAAATTCCACTTACTGGGATTTGTGAGTGTTTATTTCCCTTTTAAATTAGTGCTTCTTGGGCCTTTTAATTTCTCTAATCCTAAATTATGACAAGAAAATAGGATGTCATGGGAAGTCCAAAAAAAATTGAAACCGGTGGAACCAATCTCCCAATTGTTTATTAAATTACATGAATATGCATGTGACTTGTGAATAAACCCGTAAAATGGGTGAATTGGGTTGGGTCGAAAATGGTCTAACCCAATCCGAGTTCCAATTCTAATCAATTTTTCTCCTTATATTGTTACTTCTAAAGAATGGGCCACTCCACGAACTAACTTGGCCAGTTGGTGAGAGAGCTTAGGTTGGTTCGTGAATTAGGATTTTGTCCGGCATATGAGCAATGTGAAAACGTGGGCGAAGTCATGTTGACGATCAGGAACACCTGTGTGGATTGATTAGGAGGTTGGGTTATGGACGGGTTGAGTTCCGATTATGAATTTTTATATTATTTCTCCATGTACTTGTCGAAAAGACTATGCTTGGGATGATGCACAAGCACTGAAAGAATTGAAAATACTTCGAGATTTAAAAATACTCAGACTCATCGATATTTGTAATATTAAGAAAGAAAATACGGATATGGACCAAATACCAACAAAAAGAATAGGCCGAAAAACAATTTAAAAAGGAAATTTGAAAAATTGGCAAATTAAAACAAAATAAAAAAGATTGGATGGAAAGTTTCACTGTTGTGAGCTAGTTTGACTCTGCGTTGTATATGCAACTTAAAATAGCTTGCTCGCCTTCCCGCTTGAAATCAGCTCCTGGATTCCCAGAATAGCCTCCTCCTCTTCATCCCCATTTCGTCCCTCCGCTCCTCCCTCCGTCGCCTCTAGCAGTGCCGCCGCCGCCGCCTAGTCACATGCCCGCCATGTAGAGCCAGAGCGCCAACACCCACCGGTCCTCGCTCAGACGGTATAGACTTGCAGGGAACACATCGACGTCGGCATCAAATCCGAGATAGAGAATGGCGGCGGTGCTCAATTGACGGGCAATGGTAGCAACGAGCGATGGGGAACGCCACCGATGCGCGAGCAATGCTGGCTGTGGGACGAGCAATGGCCGTGAGTTGTCTCCCTTGCCTGTAGGCTGTGTTGAAGTTATACTTTCATAGTTACATTTCGGCTTTCAACCAATAATTTAAATGGGTCGAATATGAATCAGGTGCAAACCAACGGAGACCCACGTAGATGTTAAACTCCTTTTGACCTATTTTGAAAATTTTAAATGATGCGTATTCAACCTGACTTACTCCCACTTGTGAGTATGTTTAACTAGACATATCATTCCAGTCAAGCTCATAAGCTTATGCAGTATTCCCCTACCGTTGCAGTATGGGTATACTCTACGAAGCAGAGACACTCTCCGGGAGCTTCCGTGTCGGTGTCGGACATGTGTCGGACACCAACACTCGTCCGACACTCTTTTTTTATTATTTATTTATTTATAAATTTAAATCAAATTAATTTGATTGAAATAATCATAAAAATGATAATTTATCATGTATATATAAAAATATATATTTAATATATAACGTGTCCTAATGTGTCGAAATTCTCTATTTTTTGAGAAATGACGTATCGGCGTATCGTGTCACGTGTCAATGCCACTTAGGGTATACTTGAGTTTCTAGTAAAAAAGTAATGATCCTCTCTCCAAAACATTTAGAGTTTATCCATCAAAAACTGTCTGAGGAAGGAACCGAGCCGCAGTTCTCATACGGTTTCGTTCATGTGGATCAATTCAAATGCTTAGCATGACTAAATCAGGACTAATGCCCTTACAAGCCCAGAATCAACATAATAGTTAACAGTCTCAAGAGAGAACTACAAAAGATTACTCTACAAAAACAAAGCTAAGTATTCCCGACATGGTGACAACAAAAGAGAAGAAGATAAAACCACCAAGGATCAAGCTATATGTAACTTCGATTCTCTCTAAACAGCTTTTTTACTTCAAATGCTAACTGTTGCTTCTTAATCCTCAGAAAACATGGACTCGAAAGCAACTCTAATAGAGAATGTAACAGCAGCAGTAACTCGACCAACTTGAGGTGAGACATTATCACGCAGAACAAGGTTCCTCCCTCCCCAATTATTGTAGATGGAGGCATTCAAAGCCAGTTTCATCTCATACCTTTGGCATACTGAATAGCCATGTGAAATTCATAATCCCAAGCGCCAGCCAAAGCAGGACAATGCAAGACGTGCTCCCACATCTTTGAGCCTTTATGAATTTGCATAAAGTTGACTGGCCAGAGAAATTATTTAAGTACTCAGCCAAAAATGGAATCCCAACATTTTTCATAAAATAAACTGACCAGAGAAATTACTAAATACCTTCTTTTTCCCCATGACTTCGAGTAATAGTCGCAGACAGCCAAATTCCTGAAGTTGCCTGACTGTCATATAGCAAGTATTTCTGGGATCAAGAGTTGTACCACCTCTTTGATAACCAACATAAGAGCCATCAACCAGATTTCTCGCTTCTGAGCTTAGCTGCAAGACTTACTCCAGTTAATATAATTCGCCTGCACCTGCATATATGCATTCCAACAAATAAACAACAGTAAGAGCTGGAAGACAGGAAAGTGAACCCTCGGTTTCAAAATTTTTGCATAAGCAACGTGAAACTTCAATTTTGCAGAATCAAATGCGATAGCAGGAGCATCTTCAAGTTTATGATGAACATTTACAATGTGATGGACAGGGTGGTAAATCAGGTCACCAATCATTACATATAGCAGATGGAACCTCGAAATATAGCTTGGCGAAGGTTACATAGTGCTGCTTAAAGGACAACAGCGAACAAGGCATCTTTAATCAACAACATCAAGGAAAGAATAAAGTCAATGAAGAAAGTTTATCAGGTCACCAATCATTACACACAGCAGATGGAACCTCGAAATATAGTTTGACAAAAGTTACATAGTGCTGCTTAAAGGACAACCGATGAACAAGGCATCTTTAATCAACAACATCAAGGAAACAATAAAGTCAATGAAGAAAATTTAAGTTTCTAGGCCTTCCCTCAATTAGAGCCATTTTCTCACTGTGAGTGGTTTAGAATTGTCAAAATGCGCTCCCACAGAGGGTAGAATTCATGTCCATGCATCTAGAGTTGCTTGTACACCTGCCTCATAGATGCTAATATCTCTTGTTTACTTGCTTCATGACTCACATCACAGCCTTTGAATATAAAGCTAAGTTTCAATATTAACAATACTGAACTTGTGCGGGATTTTAATTTTAATACGTAGTTCCCATCCTAAGAATACAATCATTTCACATATTAGTCTTGATATTCGAATCACTTGATAATTGACATCAAAATAAATCTGTCTTTTCTTCTGATTCTCGTATAGAGATGATATGAGCCTATAAAGTCACATTTTGATTTTTGATCTCACACAATATCACGTTAGTGATATCCTTCAGACACTCATCAATCCTATCAAGGACCCAATTTTAACAACTGTTCTTGCTAGTGATCAATCTAAATCTTTTTAGCATATAAGTACAAAAGGAAGCAAAGAAGTAAATCCCAACAAACCTAAAGCTTTGGCACTTCAACGAGTTGGGTACGTTCCATATCCAAGAACAAACCGAGTTTTTAATCGAACTTGTCTTTAAGACCTCCGCAAATTCCTTCTCAATTCTCATAATTTATGAGGAGACAGTTACATTTTGGGATGGTAAGTATCATTGTTTCGAACAATTAAGACTTTTCAAATCAATCCAGTAATACCTACCCAATTGGCCACATAAACCGAATACTGAATTGCAGAATCCAACTTAAGTTCATGGAAGACCAGCTGCACGGACTAGCGAGCTACGACTCGTGGTCTACTCGACATACTTCCAAAAAACATACTAAGCTGATACTGCAATGACGATGCTACTTCGCGCTAATCCAAATTGTTCCGACTACCTTTTTTTCCTTTCCAACTTGCCGAACTCTATGAACTCAGTACTAAGTTCCAAACCTAATTAAGAGTGATATCCCTACAATTTAGTGCCTTTTGTGGTGGGTCAATCTACGGTTTGATGTTATCAAATCACGAGTTCCAAACAGCACAAGCCGCTCTCGAATCTGCAGCTACGTTACAGAACACCACCGAAAATCAACAGAACGTGAGCTACAAATGTGTGAGTACGAGGAAAACAGGGGTCAAAAACCGTAATTTCCGGGCGAAACGGAAAGAGATAGAGATGAACATGAAAGCGAGCGAGCGAGCCGTTGAGGGTTTTCGCTAGCGTACGGACAATTTCCACTTTATCCCGGGCCCGAAGCGCGGCTCTTCCTCCTCGTGGGCGAGCGGAAGAAGAAGCCAGGGCCTCTCCGACATCGACGCTTGGCGAGCGATCGCGGGACGGACGGTCGCCTCCCATGGCTTCCTCCGTCGGCTCCGCCGCCGTCGCCGCCGTCTCTCTCTCGACACGCCTATGTAGAACTAGAAAGTGACTGTAATTCTCTTTATGAGGCTATTAATAATTTCTCTGTTTTTTTTTTGAAAGTGTATTAATAATTCTCTTAAAATAAACGAGTTTCCCAGCAGAAATTTTACAATTTCTAAATAGTTCAAATATTTCGAATTATAAAAAAAATTAAATTACGCGAGCACGATATTTAAATTATGAAATGTAATGAAATAAAAATCAATTTGAAAAGATAGTTTCGAATTGATGAGGTTTTAACCGATGGAGAGGATCTTCATAAAAGCCTCCTCTCGAAAATAGCTTATTTCGTTTGGTTTTATTTTTTATTTTTTGAAAAATTATGGCAATAGTATTTTCTTATTTTGGTGTAAATTGGCTACCCTACTTGTTGGAAAAAGAAGCAAAAAATATCTCCTAGAAAAGTAGGAAGAGTTGGAATTAGGGTTATTTGGTACAATTTCTTTTTTTTTTCGGTAACGGTTGCGGCAATTTCAACTATGAAAATTTTTTCCGACCAAAAAGAAACTATAAAAAAATGTTATAATTTTTATAATGTGTAAGGCTAATGTCTCAGTACCTCGTAATTGAAGTACCTATGGAGTCGTATTAGCTTACAATCGCTTTTAAAAGACTATTTAATCCAATTTTAAGGTTTTATAAATTAAAAATATGTTTTACCAAATATACAACCTATTTGAGGCACAATTACCATACAACACAGTACGAGTTATAGTTTAACAATAGTTATATAAAATTGAGTTAACAAAAAATACGAGAAAGTAAAAACAAAAGGATTGCTTGTTGATAACCTCAATATAATGAAGAAGTAAGAAGCTCTTGAAGTTAAATGATCGTGAAAAGTTTAGTATTATTCGACGAAAACAACAAATCAGCCCGTGGTATAATGAAATGCACCAATGATTGAAGAAAATTATAGATTGAGCTTATCATTATTTCGTTTTAATTTTTTTTAACGTATGTAAGGTTGTTCGATTTAATTTAATAAAAAAGTTATCCATATGACGGACGCACTCCGTTATACAGGAATTGGCAAAAATCATCTCTAACGGAACACGATTTCAATCATTGCCGAAGATATTCCCAATCTTTGCTCCTAAATAAAAAAAGCAATCTTTGCTCTTGAATATAAAAGCAAACTGGCAAATGATCTCTAAAGTTTAACATCGATCGATCTACGGGCATCTTTGTTTCCACAATATTGAACGAGACAAAGCAACCCTAAATTTTTACAAGGGTATGCATTATTCAAAAACACTAATTTTTTTAATTAATTCATTACCTCACGTGTCACTGTTTACATAGAAATAGATGATTATTGGCCCAAAAATTCATCAGAAAAATCTTAGGGAAATTTTCAATTTGGGGCCCAAAGTGAGCCCATTTTCTCAAAATGGGGTCCCAAGTGCAATCAGTCTCAAAATGGGATCCCAATTGCCCAATCAGTCTCAATTTGGTACCCGAGTTCGCCGGCCGGCCAAATAGTCACCGGCTGCGAGTTTTTTTTACTGTTCCGGTGGCTGGAACAGTAATTTTTTACTTTTTAAATTTTTCTTTTGCTTTTTTTTTTCTTTTCCCTCCGCCGGCCCCGGCTATGGCCGGCGGAGGCTGCCCTCGCCAGCGTCGGGGAGGGCCGCCCAGCCTTCCCCGACGGCTCTCGCCCGACGCCACAAGCGAGGGTTGCCCTCGCCGACGTCGGGAAGGTGGGCGCCCTCGCCTCGGCCGGGCGGTCGAGGGCCGCCCCGCCTCGGCCGGGCGGGCGAGGGCGACCCTTGCTCCTCGCCGACGTCGGGGAAGGCTGGACGGCCCTCGGCCGACGCCGGCGAGGGCGACCCTCGCCAGATCCCACTCAGCCTCCTCAGCTCCTCCTCCGACAGCCTCAGCTTCGCTAGCGTGGGCGCCGCGGCCCCCTTCTCTTCCCACCTCCTCCTCTCCCTCTCCAGTTCTCTCTCCTTCCTCACCTTCCGCCTCAGCTCGCCGTACCTCTCCACGAAGCTGCCCGAGCCGAGCTCGGGGATGGGGTTCTCAGGCGTGCTCTAGCTCGTGTCGATCGTGTGGCCGAAGCGGTGCCCTCGCCGGATCTAGCGAGGGTCGCCCTCGCCAGCGTCGGGCGAGGGCCGCCCAGCCTTCCCCGACGTTGGCGAGGGCAACCCTCGCTTGGGCAGGCGAGGGTCGGCCCTCGCCTGTGGCGTCAGGCGAGGGCCGTCGGGGAAGGCTGGGCGGCCCTCGCCGGGGCGGCCCTCCCCGACGCTGGCGAGGGCAGCCTCTGCCGGCCATAGCCGAGGCCGGCAGAGGGAAGAGAAAAAAAAAATCAAAAAAAAAAATTAAAAAGTAAAAAATTATTGTTTCGGCCACCGGAACAGTAAAAAACTCGCCGCCGGTGACTATTTGGCCGGCCGGCGAATCCAGATACAAAAATGAGACTGATTGGGCACTTGAGACCCCATTTTGAGACTGATTGCACTTGGGACCCCATTTTGAGAAAATGGGCTCACTTTAGGCCCCAAATTGAAAATTTCCCAAAATCTTATATATATATCCTCGTGAACGAAATTTCACCGTAGCAGTAAAAAAACTTCCTAAGCCGTGGTCGAAAAGGAAAAGGAAAAAAAAAGAAATCCAAATCCTGCACAAAGTTCACACTTGCAATTGCCAATTTACCAAAACTCTCTCTCTTTTCTCTCTCTGTCTAACACAAAAACACAGAAAATCTTCTCTCTTCTCTCTCTCTCTAACCGCCTCAATCTCTCTCTGTCACACTCCTTCCCCCCATCCCTCCCGTTCCTCGCTTCGATTGCGAATGCGGCGGAGCCCTCGGCCCCCGCCCCCCCGCCGCCGCCCATGACCTAGCCCCCTGCCCCCCCGCCCCCTCCACTCGCCGGAATCCACCTGCCGGCGGTGTCTCCGACGAAGCGCCCGAGGCTTCCCCCTCCCCCTTCGTTTTCGGTTCGCGGGCGTTGAATCGGCTGGGGCTTCAATTGGGGAGGGGCTTTAGGGTTTCCGATTCTGGGTTTTTTGGGTGACCAATCGAGCGGCCTATGGCTGGAGGGCGCAAGAAGGGAGCGAGCAAGGACAAGAGTAAGCGTCAGTTGAGTTTGGGCGATCTCGTTCTTGCCAAAGTCAAGGGCCACCCTGCTTGGCCTGCCAAGGTTCGCGCTTTTTGCTCTGTATTCCCTTTGATTGTTTCGTGTTTTCTCATTTCTGTTTGGGTGTTCAAGCGCAAGTTTTTACTTTCTGTCTCTTTTTTTTTTTTTGCCTTCTCGCGGTTGGAAAATGGTTTAGTTCGATTTAATTCGGCTCATGTTGTGAAGTGAATAGGTGGTCGGCCGTTATGTTTGGGGAGGCTGGTCTTTTTGGATTTTCTTACTTGGTCGCATTGTGAACTGTTTCTGCCCGGCACTTCGGAAGTGAACCTTTCTGCTTGTATGTGGTTCTTTGGATTAGTTGGAAATAGAGGCGAATGAGGTTTAATTTTGCTTTTTTGGGTTTTCAAAACTGAATTGGCATATCCAAGCACTGTTCTATCGCGCTTTACCTCGTGGCTCACCAGTGATCTAGGTTTGCCTCTGGGCTATTCAGTTAGATCCGAAGTAGCTTTCTGTCTTCATGGTTTCTGATTGAAGCCTGATACTGTATAGATACATTGATTTTATTGACCATCTCAGTGTGATGCGGTGCGCATCTTTTGTATGATGGTTGCTCCGTGAATGATGATTGTTTTTATGTCTTCAGATTAGCAGGCCAGAGGATTGGCACCAGACCCCTGACCCGAAAAAGCACTTTGTGCATTTCTTTGGAACACAAGAGATGTAAGCTCACGAGCTGCTTCTACCACTTGTTTATTTATGTCTGAGTAGTTAGCTTAATGGCTTTATTGAGTTTTGTGTATAGTTTCATTCCTTTCATGCAGTAACTACAGTATCGTGTTCATGAGCGGCTCTCTCTCTCTGTTTTTTTTGGTAAACCTTAAGGTTATTAGACTGGCCCAGTTCATCCACTCCCGGTCCCTCATACCCCTCTTCTCTAAAGAAGCAGACACTAGCACAGACAGAAGAATGGAAGGGCAATTTGTTGATTAGAATCTCTTCCTTCTAGCACTTTGCCTTATGCCATGCTTTTGATCTTTTCTTTTTAAAGTATATCTCTATTGTCCCATGGGAAGTATCTTTTGATGAACCATAGAAAAAGCAGGTTGTATTCTAGCCTTAGTCATTAGTACGAGCTTTTGTTTTGAGGAGTGAAGTCACCCATTAGATCAAAGTGTGAGTCATAATTCATCTATACTCTTTAGATACAGATGAAGAGCTGTCTTCTTTTCCATGCAACTCCTCTACAGGCTATAATCTGTTGGTAAAGGAATACTGTATAAAGATGAAAGGACATGTAAAGTAAAGGTTACAGATTGAGCCTGCTTGGCTGTTACACTTGCAATCACTTGTATCAGTGATGATCATTTCTAGCAATACACTGTGGATTTGATATTTTGAAACTGCAAGTAGTAAAATTCTTAATCTTTGGAAATATTATGTTTAATCAAGGTTAAATTTTTCGGGATCTGTGGTAAGATTTCTCTGTCACTCTTTTTATGGTGATTTCTCCTTTTTCTTGTTGATCTTCCTTTTGCCTGCTTAAATTGTTGCATCTTTCTCTTGAGTTGTTTTTCTTTTCTCACCAAGTCTCTTTGATTGCTTTGCCATTTGTTTTTTTTTTGTTAAATATTATTTTGGATCCCAACCCCACTTTGGGGAAAATCTTTAGTAGGTTTTTTGAATAAATGCAAACTGTCAGATTTTTTATAGCCCACACTGGCTTCATGTTTTAGCATCTGCGACTCACTCATATTTTTGCAATTAAGTTGGATTTTGTTTTTTAGTCCGATTGTTTTGTGGTGTGGACACACAGACAGGATCAATGGATAGGCAAATACCCTGTGAAAACGCTTTCACAAGGTGGTTACTTCTTTGAACATAGTGGTTTGAGCATAATAGGACTGAAACAGAGAGGTGTCTATAACAAATGTGTTATACTTTGTATTAGTAGCTATTATGTCATTGTTGTCCTACTGAAGTTTCCACGAAAGCATTTGTCCTTGTAAGTTGGTCAATCACTATCAAGGTTCCCCTGCTCACATTGCGTTTGCCATTTACTTGAAATCTAGTGCAACAATTGTATTTTTATTTCATGTTGGCTGGAAAAGCAGGCTTTGGGAGTTGCATTTGGGTCACCCAGCAAATTAAAAAGGCCCCTACCTAAACGGCCCTTTCTTTTTTGCATCTTGTTGGTTTACGTGGTATTTTGATTTTTTAGTATGTCTTTTTATCAAGCTGAATTGCTATTAAAATATCTGTATTAGACTTTTATGGTTTTCAAAATAAAAATGGTACAGGTGAAGTTAACGTAATTCTTTCCATTTTTTTATAATTCATTCCTAATCTGATAAATTACACACAACTTGTTGTATAGCTTCACATACCATTTTGTAATTTGGTCATTTTTTCATTTATTGGCGTCACAGAGCTTTTGTTGCTCCTGTGGATATCCAAATATTCACTAGTGAGACGAGGACTAAGTTGGCGGCTCGATGTCAAGGTAAAACAGTCAAGTACTTTGCCCAAGCTGTTAAGGAAATATGCGCTGCGTTTGACGAGTCACAGAGAGAACAGTCAACTAGTATGAGAGGCGACACTGATGCATCTGACCAGGGGTTTGAAGTTGCTACTAATGATGGCTTAGAGCAGGAAGGGGCAGAGGTTGATGCAAGCATTGGACCTGATCCATATGGAAGCATTGAAGAAACAGGCAATGAGGACAGCTGTGGTGTGAGCTTAAAGTTGGCGACCTGTCGTCCTGAGCAACATGAAGGTGATCATCATGATGTTAAGCCTACTACATCATCCCATGATGATGGTGACTCGTCTCCTAGGGTTTTCCGTAGGAAGAAAGAAAAAGTAAAGGATAGCCTGCAGTCAAAGGAGAAGTTAAAGTTCAATATAGATGAAAATTCTCGCTCCACTAATCAGGATTCTGTTAGTTGCACAAAGCAGCTTGGTGGTGGATGCAGAGCATTGGCAAATGGGCATAAAGGAGAATGGGCTAGCGGGACAGCAAGCATATTGAAGAAAACAAGTGAAGAACGTAAAATTAATCGCACTCCTGTGACATCAATGAAGGAAGCTGGCTACTCTGGTGGTGCAAGTCATCTTGAGCAATTTAAAGGTCAAACCAAAGGAAAAGTGGTCTCTGGTGGCAGTAGAGAAGGATTTTCTTCGGATGCAGGAAAACTAGACTTGGGTGTGCCTGTTATGAGGAAGCCCAAAAAAACGAAAAAATTGGAAAAGAATTTTGAGGAAGCAGATGGCGAAGCAGAGATAGAGACAAACTCTGAGGATGAGGATGTGCTATTGGGGGATAGGGAGTTTGTGCTTGCACTCAAAAAACCTATTTCAGGGCTTAATGGTGCTCTACATCCTCACAAAGATTTGAAGCATGAAGATACAGGGTTGGATGCCAAGGGACATTTCAGAAAAAGCATGGACAAAACTTCTTCAAGTCCTAATGTTTACGGTGAAAAAGTAATTAAACAGTTTGAGGATAAAAAGTTTGTACTGCATGCGAGAGAAGGCGATTTAATTTCGAAAGGGGAAGTTGGTATTGTACGATCTGGCAGCTCTGGTGATGAAACTGTCCTACCACTGACAAAGCGGCGTCGCAGGGCATTGGAAGCTATGTCTGATTCTGCTAATTCAAGCATTGATGAAAAAGAGGAAAAGCATCGTTCACTAATGAAAAATAACGCGCCTTCTAGAAGCATTGAAAATTCAGTTAGTAGGACACAAAAGAAACGAAGAGCTGTTTGCCTTTTTGAAGAAGAGGATGGTGAAAAGCCTAAAACTCCAGTTCACGGGGGATCTTTCAAGAATGTTATGATTACGTCGAAGATTCTTGGAAATACTAAGGCTAGCGAGGTACGCCATGGGGGCTCGAATGCGGCACAGGAAAATGCTAAAAATGTAGCTGGAGTCGAAGATGGCAAACAAAAGAAAACATCGGAGGCACATGAAAAGATTTTATCTCCTTATAAGGCAAATGTGTCTGAGAAGAGATCTAAACTGGAAATATCTTCTCATGTCTCTAGTAGTCCAACGAAATCAGAATTTGAGCAGACATCACTTCAGAATGTTGAAGCAAACCTAATTTCTCCCAAGAAGTCTCCCCGAATTCTTCCAGTTACCAAACCAGTGCTAGAGCAGCAGAAACCTAATAAACACGTGGTTAAGCTAGCTAATAATGGAACACAAAGACAGGCTTCATTTGGTTCAGATAAGAGTTCAGTGCGGAGCTCCGATTTGTCAAAAAGTTCCCAAATTCATGCTACGTCTCAAAGAAATAAGGCAGCTTCCTCTGCAGAAAGGTTGAAGAGTACTCCCAGAACAAACACAAGGACAGGCGACTCATCCTCTCTGGCAGATAGTGGCACTGAGTGGAATGGTCTGCAAGATGAAAGGTAAGAATTTGTTGATGACTCTACTTTGCATTGCTTGTAGGGGTAGCTAATGGTCGTATTATCCGGTGACTCTATGTTGCTTATCGATGTCAGGACTGCTGAGTCTGCTACGTCTATGAAGCATCTCATTGCTGCTGCTCAGGCAAAACGAAGACAAGCTCATTCACAAAATGTCTCTTTTGCCAACTCTAGTTTTCCTACTTTTTCTTACCCCGATGCACAAGGACCGAGTCCTAGCCCCTCTGCTGTTCAGCATTTTATGCCTGCCTCCAGCAGCTTGATGCCATCAGAACCACGGGGAATGAATCATCAGAAGAGTTTGACTTCTCCATCTACTCTTGTTCCTCTTTATGGATCACAGAATCACATCGATGCTGAAGATGCTGAAGATAGAAGAGTTAGTTCTGCGCAAAGGCATCCCTTGGGCTCACTGAGTGGTGATACTGATGCAGCTGTTGCACGTGATGCTTTTGAAGGTATGATAGAAACCTTATCGAGGACTAAAGAAAGCATTGGACGTGCAACTCGGCTTGCAATCGATTGTGCCAAGTATGGAATTGCCCATGAGGTATGTCTTTTGGTGGAACAAGCTTTATCAGTTGCTAAGTATAAACCACACATGCAAAGTTATGGCTTTTATGTGGAAATGTTGACAATATGCATATGCTTTCCTTCCATCTTCTTGTGATGCTGTTTCTCAAAAGTAATCATTTTTCTAGTGTTTTGAAAGCAAAAGAAAAGCCGCATTGTGTTCTTTGGTGTCTTACTTGATAATTTGTTAAGATACCAAAGAATTTTTAGAATGGCTATTTAATTTTGACTAATGCCGGTTTGCTTATAAGTTCAACTTGCTCCGTTGTTCATGGGTTGGCATCCCCTTGGTGCCTTCAAATGATAAAATTTTATTGTTTACAAAAAAAGCTCAACTTGCTATGTTGTGATGCTGCTGGGAATGGATTTATGTGTTTGTTGTCGAGCACTGGCACCATGATGAATTCTGAATCTGAATTTAGCTTTTTGAGCAAAATTTGAGATGTCTAAAACTTTGGTGTTGGGGACTTGAATTTTCATTGATAGACTTCCATTGAAATGAATACTATAAAAATCTCGCTTTTGAGCTTTAGGAGCTACTATTAATTTTGTTTTGAGTTAGCAGAAAATTGAGGTGACGAAAGCTCTAATTTGGTAATGTTAATTTGCTCATTTCCGTCATGCCAACAAGATCTGATAATCTTTGATTACTCAATGTTATTTAGATCAGGATAGAATAGGTCTCCCCTAGCATTGAAGGTAGAAAAAGTCTATTAAATAGTACCTGTTGTTCTCAGGGTGGAGTATACTGTGCAACTTGAAGGCAGTCTGAGATTCTATGTTGAGCTTGTTCTTGTGATAATAATTTTTGGTTTTATGGAGGCGGGTTTATGTTTCGACAGAGGCCTGAGACTTTGCTTTAGTGGAAAGTTGTAAAATGCATAATTAAGTGCATATGTTGATTTCACATTCTATACTTAGAATATGAATTTCTGGATCCTTGACCTTTTCCTTTCTCATTTTGGAGTCAAAAGGATTTGTAGATACATTAAGCGTTTGGATTTTACTCCTTAGTTTGTTTGATAGGACAGGGATAGAAAGGGCATTATAGCTGTGGTCTACATAGTGCTTCATATAGCATTTCTAAGAAGAATAAAGGAGGAAAGTCTTTTTGCTTTTGCGCAAGATTTAACTCCAATTGAAGTTTGTAACTTCTCCACCACTTTTATGATCAAGCGACGTTTTCATATTTGTGGGTGTCGCTAGTTTTCTATGTGAAGTACAGTGGTCGATTTGCCTGACTCATATCATGAATTTTTGGCTGCCTTCAATTGTTATCATGGGTGAGCTTTCTCTAGTACAAACTTAAAGTTTTAAGATGTTTTGGATGGTAGAAAAGAGTTTCCAGTCTTTTTCTAAATGTTACTGCGATAAATAATCAGTATTATACTATTGGTCTCCTGCAATAGTGCGGGACAAGAAAACCTTTTTTATATGGCCTTTATGAATGAAAATATTGGAGGTCTTTGTTTACCACCATCCGGGTGTTATGCTATATTATAGTTATAGATGCCTGGATTTGTCAAGCTAGGTATATAAGGGAATCTCATTTTAGATTGTCTAATGTCAATAGGTTGTTTGGCACGCATAATATTGGCCTTTGCGATATTCTTGTGTGTGTTAAGTCTCCTATATTTAAGAGCAATGTATTTCTGTCAGTGATTTTACATGGAAGTCCTCTCATTTGAGTTGTGAACGAATTTTGAAATGGAGTTTATTTGATCATTTTTTGCAGGTTGTGGAACTTCTTATTCGGAAATTGGAAAGTGAGCCTAGTTTCCATAGAAGAGTGGACTTGTTTTTTCTTGTTGATTCTATTACTCAATGTTCGCATAACCAGAAAGGTGAGTTAATTAGCTATGAGCATACGAATGTTGCTAGTCCATTTTTTTCTTTTTGGTTCTTGTTCCCTGTTTTGGAGGTTTGATAAAGCCGGGAGTGAAGAGGTCTTTTGGAGAAGAGAGAAAGCGGGGCACCGGGGGGGGGGGGGGGGGTTGGTTGTCAGGCCTCTGCTCTAGCTGTTTTGGCATGAAATAAAGTAGGAAACTCCTTTTTTTATCACTGAAAAATTAGGAACTTCTTACAAAGTTAAACTTGGGGAAGGGGTTTTCTTGGTCTGGCCGAATGATGTTAGCATGGTCCTAAATTTTTTAAGCACGAAATAGCATATCTTCGAAATGCTTTTGACTTTCTAAGGAGTAAGAGGCATGATTACAAGCATTCTTGAAGATAAAGCCTAAAACCAGATTGGACAGAAGTGACTAGTTTTCTTACCTGTTCCTCTCCCCCACCAAGGATGTGGAGACCAAAGAGTTCATGATTGATTCTTTTATTTCAATCTATTTTCCTAGCCAAACAAAAAGAAAAGAAGACTAGGTCAAAAAGCTATAGCATTTAATGATACATTTGTCACAGTAAAATCCGACCACAGCAAGCTTATTAATTCAAGGATTAGTCTACAGATTTTTTTCATTTATTGACTCTGGATTTCCGGAAGCAGCAAGACAAGTGTGTATTTATTCAGTGGTTTTGTTCAAACTTTAGGTATTGCGGGAGCATCGTACATTCCTACTGTTCAAGCAGCTTTATCGCGTCTTCTTGGAGCTGCTGCGCCACCTGGAGCTGCTGCTCGTGAAAATCGCCGCCAATGTCTCAAGGTTTTTTTTGTTAAATTTCGGTGGGGGAGTTTTCCTTTAAATTTTCATTTTTTTCCCTAAAGTTAATCTTCCCTCCTTATTAGGTTTTACGGTTGTGGCTTGAGAGGAAGATCTTGCCTGAATTTATTCTTCGGCAGTACATGGATGACATTGGAGTGTCGAATGATGAAACAACTAGTGGAACCTCACACAAACGTCCTTCTCGTGCTGAACGTGCCGTGGATGATCCCATTAGGGAAATGGAAGGCATGATGGTTGATGAATATGGGAGGTTTGTGACGTCCTTCTCGTCTTTCTTATATTTTGGTATGATTTTTTACCTTGTCTTGTGTCTTCGTACTAAGGTTATGTCCTCTTTGGATAACATGGTCCAAATGGACTCTCAAGATAAGCTAGCTAGGCTAAGCAAAAAAGTGAGAAATCTGATGGTTTGGCATGCCGCATGAGCAATTCGCATGCTTAGGTTGTTGGATAATTCTTGATATTACCCATCTGCATTGGCTTGTTCACGTCAAAGTTCAGCATTCCTGCTTTACTCATCTTTTGTTATTATATCTGCATTATACTTTGAGACCTGGACATGCAGCATCAGTTCAATTATTTTTTGTTAAATCTGGAGGAAGTTGGTAATGGAGACATATACTGTGGAGATTTTACTTCTCCTTGGTGGGTTTCATTCTTCCTGACTGTGGACAGGAAATCCGAAAAAGGGGAAACCATCACTTCTTCTGAACTTCTCGTTTCTCATAGATATGAAATGTTGGTTAAGGTGTATGGAGCCTTGCCTCCTGCCTCCTGCCTCTTCAGCCTGGCCTAATGCCTATAGTTATAACTAATTTACAGACAACGATAAGTTATTGGTTTGCAGTCTTTTTATTCAGTTTTGTAGTTTCAGTTAGCAGATTCCCATATAACTTTTAAGTGAGATACAAACATAATATGGCCATAACATCCTCTTATGATCCATAAATGATTTCAGCCTGGGAAAATGGGAGGACATATGGTCTATATATTCCTGAAGCTGAAGTTGTTTATATAAATTTTATGTGGTTAGGTTTGTAAATGGCTTGCCATCCCCTTTGGTGCCTTTTAAATTAATTATCTAACTATTTAAGAAAAAGAAGAAGTTAAATGTGGGTAGGTTACAGGCTATTCTTGGCACTATCTTAACTACTTTCCACTGCTTGTGTAAGTGTGTTAACATGCCGCGAGTTATGGACAGTAGACTGCAAGAGTCATAGTTTTTCACACTCATCCTCTTTCCCCACGAAATCCTGCGGTATTTAGATTCTTACCCTTGGACCCCAGTTGACAGCCTTGCAATTAAAAGCAGAGAGCGTTGTCCTATTATTTTGAGGATGCTTTCGGTGCTATGCTAAGCTCATTAGGATTATGGTCAGAATTCCAACCAATCAATAAATCAGATTACGGGGTACCATTTGTTTGAATTTGCATCAACTGCATTGAAGGAAACCTTCACTATATGGATAGACATGCAATCTATTGAACAATTACTCAGGTGTGAATGGAGTCTTAAAGATCACGGGAAAGTCATAAAACTTTAGTTTCTTTTGATTGCTGAAAATCATCAAACATTGCTCTCCGTTAGTAATTTGGGTAGATATCGGTTTCTGTATGTTTGATAATACTTTCCACTGGACTCTTAGAATATGTAGCAGTTGCTACTGTTAATTTTTTGGTAATTATTTTTCTGCATCTTTGATTGCAAGTTGAACTCTATTGGAATATACTGCTTCGTTTACATGTGTAGTGCCTTATCTCATAGCTTGATTGCAATGGCTGTAGAATGTTGAGATAGACATTTATTATGCTGTTTTACTTCTGAAGTCCGTGACCTACTGTGGCAGTGTTTTTATAGGTCTTTTGGTTTTCTAACCTTCACCTTCTATTATCGCAAATCATTTGACTCTCGCTTTTTTACCAGCAATGCTACATTTCAGTTGCCTGGTTTTCTACCATCTCATGTATTTGAGGATAATGATGACGAAGAAGATCATGAAGATCTTCCTAGTATTCCCTGTAAAGAAACAATTGATGCGTCACCAGTTGAGTCCACCCTTGGATCGGCGGAGCAAAGAACATTTGAAGTTACTCCAAATGACAGGAGACATTGCATCTTAGAGGACGTGGATGGTGAACTTGAAATGGAGGATGTTTCAGGGCCCCCTAGGGAAGAAAAACCCTGGATCCCTCATGATGTTGAAATGGAATCACAGGAGCCTGGATCTGACATGCTGCATGTGTCTGTCCCCGCCAATTCTGACGAGTTCACCTCTCTTTCAGAGGGCTCACCACCATTGCCACTTGACTCTCCCCCTCCACCTCCTCCTTTGCCATCTTCTCCTCCTCCGCTTCCTCCGCTGCCGCCACCACCGCCGTTATCCCCCTCTCCGCCACCGCCACCACCTCCATCTCAGCCATCTCTCCCGCCACAGTTACCTCTTCCTCCAGCACCTCCCTTGGGGCCTCCTCCCATAATGGTAACGCAAACACCAATGCCACCTCACCATTCACTTCCATCTCAGTCACTTGTGTCGCTTCAGTCATCCTTCCATTCTTCACCACATTTGGCATATCAACCAACTCTTCCTCGTGAATACTGTGCTCCCCCTACTGTAAGCTTTGTTTATTTTATTCCTGTTATTTCTCAGTGTTTTATTAGAGTTCACCTTTGGCTCACACTTCTATATTGCAGGGAAACCAGTCAGTGCAAATGACTGCAAATAATCCTCATGGGCTTCCTCTTGATGCTTCTGCAAAGGGTGACTTAGCAACCCAGCAATCACCGTACTTTGCTTCGGCTGGGGGCAGCTGTCAAGAATCTTCTGGATTTAATGTTTCAAGGAGGCCGGATTATGGGCATGGTGATTCTTATCTAAATCCTCAAGCTTCTCAAGTCAATCAACAGTTTCAACAAGGAAGTAGGCCTTATGCTCAAAGACCCTTGCATGCTGTGCCACCTCAAACTGGAGCAACTAATTATTCATATGCAAACCCTCCCCTTCAGCAACATCCTCAGCACCCATACCCTCACCAGTTCGCTTTGCCACCCTCTGATAGTGGGAGGCGATTTGGCACTGATGAACCATGGAGAATGAACTCTGGTGAATTTAATAGCGATCAGAATGGTCCTTGGACAAATGGAATAAGAGGTTCTTCAGGATCGGGTGGAGTTTATCCTCAAGAAGGTACTGTACGACTATTGTTAATATGTCTACTAGTGTTCTTGTAGTGCTAAACAATTTTGTGCGCAACATACTGGTATGCTATGGTTTTTGTTGCATCACATCATGTTTGCGTGATAAGTAACTCTATTTAATCACGGTTGTGTTAGTAAGTGTTTGAATCCTTATTTCATGTGCACCGGGAGCTCTTGGACTTAAATGTTTATCAAGGGAACCCAAACGTTGGTCTTCCTTCAAACCTCTTTTCTATTGATTCCACTGGTTCTCTTTAATCAAAGGGGTTATTGTTTAACTAGTTCTACCCCCAACTTTTGGTGTCTTTCAAGTTGACCAGTAATTTAAGTATAACTATTAGGTATTAAGAAATACAGGAATGGAAGTGTATGTGAGTTTGGAGATTCTCTCCATCCAGATGTCTAATAGTGGAGCAAATCTCCATTCCTCTTAACTCTTCTCTGGACTAGTTTCGGTTTGTTTATTGTTAACAGTGTAGACAATCTGGAATGTCCTCCTTACATGCATGTTGAGATGAAATGAGTGGACCTAGATAGTAACGACAGATTTTCTCCCAAGTTGCATGTTTGATTGAGCATGTGTAAATTGAACTGCCTTTGATGTTTTGGACAATTCAAGTGAACTGCTTGTTTGTTGGACTACTTAGTTTTTTTATTTTTTTTGGTTGAATGGACTACTTAGTTGAATGCTCACATGTGCTCACATGTGTATGCTCGATTTTCGCTCTTTCAAATGTCTTATATATTCCCATGTGCTTCTTGCCAATAAAGTTTGCTCAAAATTTGTCTCGTGGGTTCCTGGGAAAATGCAAGTTAATGAAGATACATGTTTGTTTATGAGAAGATATTCTGCAGGTTTCACTATATGTTACTATGGCAGGTTACTTTCGGCCTCATTTTGAAAGACCGCCGATGAATAATGTGGGTTTTCAGCTTTCATCAACAAACAATCATTCAGCTGTGCCGCCAGCCCCAGGTAATGATATGTTCTTGGACAACTGGATTAACATTTCCAGTGAATTTTTTTTACCTTTATTATAGTTAGGCTCCAACAATTACCTAGAATGACTGTTTTATTCATTAATTTTGCAGGTCATGGTCCTAACATGATGCAAAGTAGACCAAACGTATCTGCCCTTAATATGTGGAGACCAGCTTAAGGAACGTGAAGATAGACTCTCAGATAACCTGGTGAGTTACTTGGTAGAGAAATCTGCTTCTGCCAGGATTATCCTGTCTAGTCCCATTAGTGAAGTTGTCTTTCTATTTCACAACCGCCCCCCCGCCCCCTCCCCCCCCCCCCCTCCCTGTGATATTATTAAAGGAAATGACTATAAAAGATTGGGCCTCATGTCCCGTTTTTTCAAGTGTGTCCTATGGTTAGAGTCCTTGGATGCCAAGCACGAATATTTTGCAGCTTTTGGGAGAATAAATTGGACAAACATCTGAAGCTTAACATTGCTTTCAATGGAGACCACTTTATTTTTCTTATTCAACTACCTTTGCAAATGGTTTGAATGCTGAGGCCTCACTATGAAAGTCATCATAATTTTGTGGCAGTACAAAAAGACAACTAGGCTGCCGAGGATAGTCTTTGGTCTTAACTTTTTCTCTTTAAAAAATGTGCTTGTTTTTATTTTAATGGAGTCTATTGTTTTAGACTTTCAGAATGATGTTGATAAGAAATAACCTAATACAGTCTGGCCAAATGATGTTCACGTGCCATAACTGTTATGTTTTTGCTTATATGTACCATATTCTTTGTGAAGTTCCAATCAGATGAGTTGGACAGTTTTTTCCTTGAGTTGTATGTTACACATAAAAAACAGATGCACTTGTGGAAATGTCTTGATCTTATGTTTTGGTTTTCCAATTTCAGTGTTGCGGGTACTTGAACAATTTGGACTGCTTCAACCACTCAAAATGCAGTGTTGAAGGATGTTGAGACTTGCAGGACGGTGTATATTGTAGTCTTTCCTGCGAAATGTATCCTGGGAAAATCCGTGTATAGGCCCATGTTTTTTGGTTAGTATATCTTGTTCTCAATACTTGTAATTATGCAGGTAAATTGTACAAGAAACAATTTTTGAAATGAAAAAGAATAGTTGGCAATTCATCTTTCCTTCTTTATTTCTCCGCGAAAGTTTCATGATTGAACATTTTCAGATGCCTTTAGTCGTCTCATAGGTGTGATTTAGCCAGTCCATGGATTTTCTGGATTATCTCCTCTTCTGGAAGTTGGTTATATTATTGCTCATGTAAACGTATATCGTTGCTAGTCTTGAACCCTTTGCCACATGGCTTCATGGAACTGGACCCTTGTGTTTCGTTGGCCTTCTCAAGCCAACATTTTGCTGCCTGAGCTCCACCTCGCCATTTTCCCGTGCCATTGCGTGGTGATACCCTACTATCTAATCCTGGTAAACCACCCATCCTGCCTTTCCATGTCCTATAAACTCGTGTGTAACTATGACAAGAGGCAAACCTCACTCTGGTCAATTCGTGGATGGCTTGGATCATCCCCCTTAAAAGAATGATAATCGCAGCCTGTTAAGAGGAAAAGATGATGGACAAAAGATGCAGTTTTCTGCTAGGTACGACTTTTTAGCTCTGCTGATAATTTCGTCTCTCAGTTATGTAGTTTCAGCAGTAAGAGCGCGCTTAGAACTTCATTGGTCAATTTTTTTTTCTCAACAATCATTTGGATGATTATATGCATCTATGACTGCTCCAATGTTCGGATTTGCCTCCCAGCACACATGTACTGAATGGCACTGTGATCTAAATCATCTTTGGCATTTCTTTTCTAAGATCCTGCAGTGCAGTTTAATTGTTTTTCTTTTCTTGTCTTTTCTTTTCTTCTTTTTAAGTAAGGAAAGTTTTAATTTGTGTTAATTTATGCTTGAATTAACCAAATCCTTCTTCTCTCGGATGTATCCGAGTGTTGCATTATAATCAGATATAATTAATTGTGTAGTCAGGCCAAGGTCATTCAGGTGTGCTTTTGGAGATGGATATGTTTACAAAGAGTGTGGGGGTTTCCAATTAAGCACGTTTCTCGGATTCCGGACTTGCTTGATTGCCGTGTTTGTCTGTTTGGCATTATGTATGGTAATTCTTTTTCTTTTTTATTTTTATTGCAATGATGCCGCGATCTGAGAGTGATGCTGCGACTGGCTTTTAGGGTATTTGCTATTTGCTTGCAGTCTAGACAAAAATGTTCCACTTATACTTGATTATGAAGACATGGAGTTGTGACTGATACGGGCAGTCTAAAAGTTGAATTCATAAAGCTTTGAGGAAACTACTAAACATTTCAGGTGGGTGCACGTCTTGATTCTACATAACTAGGAAAGATTTCATATTTGTTATGTGCTTGATTGTTTTTCTTCTCTCTTTGGTTTATTTCTTTTCGGAATCTTGTCATCTTCCGAATTAGCTTTTACTTCCATCGGATTGAAGTAGTGGTACTTGCGCGTGACCGGATAATAGAGAGATCGTCATGTAAAGCAGAAGAATATTAACCTTTCAGTATATGAGCCCGAAGTTTGGTTGCCTAACTAACACAGCTTTTGACCGAATCTCTGGGGATATCAGCTGTTCTTCAATTTGCCGTTTGCCGACCGAATGAATTTTAGTCAATTGGTTGAAGAACACGACATGAGCTGAGAAATGGAAAATGGTAAGCCTTTTCAATGCTAGGATTCTACGTTAATACTTCAAAATGTGCCAATATTTTTTCCCATACTATGTGTTGATGTCATTCAAACATTACCACCTCATAATCTTTTGTAGTAAAACGAAAAATTTCTTTCATTTCTCCATTCTTCCTTTTTTTCCTTCACAAAATCACCTTTTTCCAAACCGAATCTTGACTGCGTAACTCGGCAGGATGTACGTCTTCTGGTCATTGTGTTGGCCTCGATTCTATTCTCAATATGCAATGGTTGAAGTTCAACTTTCTGCCCGAACTCATGGAAGTCTTCAGTTTTGCCTTGTACTTAAATATTAAACGTTGGATCGACCGCACTGTTGGCTGGTTGGTGAATTTCACTCGAGGTCATCCATCAACTACTCTAATTCTCTTTAGGGGGCTCGTTCTCATCGCAAGTACCAAGGAAATTCCTCAGATGAAGAACGGTTTAAGAACCGTTTGTAAGTCCAGGTCCCTAAACAATTCACCACTCAACGTGAGATTTGACCAATTTCAAGTCCAGCCTGAACAGAAATTCGAAGATTACCGCACTTCATATCATCCCCTAGTATTATATACATACCAATATGCAGAAATAGATCATGCAAAGTAGTCCCATACTGCCCGGGACTCTCGTGCATGCACCTTCCATTAATTTCACAGATCACATAGATTTATTGCTCCATTAATTTCACAGATCACATAGATTTATCGCTCGAATCACCATCAGCTGGCAGACTTATGAACATCACTGAATGTTTTCTCAGTATACATCTCGCTAACTTTTGCTTCTGAACCTTTGTACACAGGAAGCGAAATAACAGTATCGAGGGTGAACAGACAGCGTGAGAAAGCAGGAGAACCAAGTTAAAAAGCACCGAGCTTGGGGTTTATCAATCACCATTAGCACGATCTACCTCTACCATCCCCCTTGACTTTGAACATTGTACGACGGTAGAAGTTCAACCAGATTCTGGTGTCCCATTCAACTTCAACATAAAAACAAAAGTAAACCTAAATAAATCCAGAGTGAATGCCCCTGACGACTAACTACATTTTGGCATAATATACATATGTCAACATCTTCTGAACACAAAGCAGCATTGACATGTATCGTATAACTTCTTATCCTTCTCTCTCTCTCCTCCTATTTACCATTATGTGCGTAAAGCTGTGTGGCAAAAAATGGATCTGAACCAGAAAAGTGAGTTATTTACCTCTATTAGCCATTAATCGAGTGCGGTTTTGTTTCTTCGGCCAGGTTTTGGCAAGCCATCGAATATGGGTCTTGCTCTGGCCACAGTTGAAAGTGCCTGCAAGTCTGGCTTCAAACTCCACTTAGATGTGGGCCAGATGGATGATAAGCTACTATTGCTTTCCTGATCCTGCAAATTTGATGTGCTTGACGACTTCCTCACAACAGTAAACCCATCGACCACGACTGAATCCCCTAGCCCTATTGGTATAGGATTCAAACTGCCTGCTTCTGCATCACTGGGCACGGAAGTTCGGCTTGCAGCTTTGGATCTCAGAGCTAAGCCCTTACTTGACGTTGATGAAAACCCACCCCCACTATTATCCTCCAACAACATTTTTGGCATGTTTGATTTGGACAAAAAATCCGCTTCCGACTTCTGACGCCTTCTGATCAATTTATCATTCCATCTCTCAGACTCACCTTCTCTGTCCTCTGCAAATGCCTCATCCTTGGCAAGTTCACCATTTTCATCAAGTAAAGTGTTAACTAGACTCCTGGTCTTCCTATGACGGCTTAAGGGTGGGTTTGAAGTTGGCAAGGATTTGGTAAATGGACCGTCCTCTAAATAGTGAGAACCACCTTTTCTGTAAACTGCCATCTCACAACCTTCAGATCTGGCTTTCTCAACTGATTTAAGTCCATAATATCCTTGCAATGAACTCATAGCAGGGGAAACTGTCTGCTGAGGAGTCTTCATTCTTAGGGTGTGGAAGGACTCAAAAAGATTGTGATGGCTCTGCCCAGGTGGGGTCTGCTCAAAGCTGCTCCTTCTGCCAAATTACAAAATAATAAGACAGTGATTTCTTGTGACGAGAAATGTATCAAGATTCACAACCCCAAGAAAAATTATTTATAGAGCATCATGAAAAGGGAAATCAACTTGCGTACTTCCTCGGATTCGCAACATACATGAGCAAATATCACGACTCAGGATAGAACAAACATTAGCTGGTGACTTTGCTTGCATCTAACTGTATTACCAGTATTTCGTTCCCTCTAAAGTAAAGGCTTGCATCCTTAGAGACCAACTAATATCAAAAGAGGCAAATTTGGGACACTCTCGGCATCAAACACTAGACTTCATATTCTAATTCTTTGCAAAAACAATTTGATTGATTAATCAGATTATCCATCAAAGATTCAGCAAAATTTATAACATAATTCGCTGCAGCATCACGTGTCATTCAACAGTAATGGGTTTTGCAAAAGAGGCAAAACACTAGTATCAAAAGAGGCAAATTTGGGACACTCTCGGCATCAAACACTAGACTTCATATTCTAATTCTTTGCAAAAACAATTTGATTGATTAATCAGATTATCCATCAAAGATTCAGCAAAATTTACAACATAATTCGCTGCAGCATCACGTGTCATTCAACAGTAATGGGTTTTGGAAGATTATGGAATAAGTGCCTTCAGTGAAGACGGTTTGAAAGTACCATGCAACCATCAATCCAAAGTGGAGTGTGATGGGTAGCCCAGATTCCGGATTCTTAGACAGCCTATAATGAGTACAATAAAAACTATGATAAGTTATGAGATCACTTCTGTGCGATGGTCCACAATAGCCTAATGGATAGGAACCTCACTGAAACAATCGAATGCCCTATGTGGATATACTGTAAGTGCTTTCATCATCTTTAACTTAAAAATCGTCACATAGATCAGACCTAAAGACAGCTGATTAAAATTAAACTCAAACGGTTTCTTGAATTAAAATTAACATAATCGTCTAAGACTGAGCATCAACAGCTGATTAGCCTCCAGAAGCATCAGTTAGAACATCAACCCTGCTAGTTATCAAGTCAACATTGGACGACAGAGACCAAAACAACCACTGGAGACAATGTAATTGCCATTTTTATTTTAACGATGACCTTGAGAAATGTAAATTGACACTTTTTAATTTCTGATTATAAGAACAAATCTGATTGCCTCGCTTTAGCTTCAGTAGAGAAGCATCTAAGTAACATCCTTACAACACTGACATGACCTTACAAGAGCGATGACAACCTGACACTGCCAATTCGCATCCTTAATCGACTAAGTAAAATAACCTCTGCATTACATCTGAAACTTTGACAACCATTTAAAGCATCACTATCCTGCCTTAAAATTTTTTTACACAGACTATGTAGCATTGGACTTGTTGGAACTAATGTCCCCTCAATTTATATGTATATATTTCTTTAGTTTTACAGAAAAATGAAACACGATATACGAGCAAATTATCAATCTTGTATTTAAAACTATCAACATTTTCATGTGCTACCTAAATATGCTAAGAGGCCTTACTAATTATATGAACTGAAAAATGGGTAGAAAACAGAACGCTAAGACAGTGAAAAACTTGCATGCAAGGCAATTTATAGCAGGAAATTTCGCCAATCTGAAGTAAACAGAGTGGTGAACCTGCTTGTCTATTATTCCACAAAAAAAAGGACCAACCTTGTCTCAAGGTAATTACTGGAGTACAATTTTCCCCATTTATTCCTTTGGTGTTGGTTATTGTGAGGATCCTTCCTCAAACCTCCAAGCATTAAAAACAAAAAATGCAGAATTGTGTGGTCAACTAATTTTTGTTATTTCAGCAAAAACATCACCCATGAACCATCGCAAATATTTACCATGAATATAAGTACAACCAGAAAGATGAGAACGATAGTATTATACAAGCAACCAAGTAGCATGAACAATGTTAATTGACTTGATTAAAAAATCAAAACAGTTGCTACCAATAGAAAAGGGTGATGACTATTTCCATTGTACCATATGCAAGTAATAAAGATGATACAGCCAACATACCATTCTAGTTTGGAAAAATGTTTTCCTTTAATGTAAAAGCAAAATTTCAAGCTTTTCATTTTTTACCGGAAATTAACTTCTTTTCCTTGTAAATTCAAAGGTTCCAATCTTTACCTGCGCCTGAAAATATAAATTTGGTAGGGCCTTAATTTTTGCAATTAAATAGGTCAAGCTCGAAGTACTGTGAAACATCAGATGGATGATATGGCCAACCTACAATTTTAGTTTGAAAAATGTTTCCCTTTAAAATAAAAAGAAAATTTTCAATTTTTTCATTTTTACTCGAAACTTTTAACTTTTTCTTTCTCATAAAAGAAAAGGTTAGCTCTTATCTTTACCTGCACCTGAAAAAGTAAATTTGGTAGGGCCTTAATCTTAGTAATGAAATAGGTCAAGCTTGGAGAATTAGGACGTGCTGAACAGTCAACTCGACATATTCTATGGCAAATACAAGCAACTAGTTTTTTGGACACACAGAGTAAAAATGTTGGACTTTATTTGGGACCAAATGGGTCATGCCAATCAAAATCTAGCTTGCTCCATTTCCACACAATAAATATGGTAATTTGGATTTCTTAGCAAATCTTTCTCCTTTCTCAATCTAAAACTAGCTTTCTTCTTCCATGAGACAGCTGATACCTACATTACTATTGGAACCTGTCTATCCTGTAAATTAAGAGATGGTTCAGGTACACACCATTAACATAGAGATCCACATAATAATAGTAAGAAGTCCAAACGTAATCCCTGACGATTCAATATGTTTTTGTTTGAAAAGACCTATCTGCCACTATGGCTGGTCAGTCATATGAACAAGATCTGTATGGAGATCGCTAATTGCACCTTGCCTTTCACTTGCAAAATTGTCTCATGAGTTTCCTTGCAGCAATAACTACAACCGTAACTTAAACTAATGTTAATCCTTCTAGAATTATCTCTGGTTGCCGGCAAAAAGTACTTTATCTTCTAACTGCAGTGAGTTGTGCACAGAAAAGAAAAGGGACTGGAACTATGCCTAAGCTGTACTGTGATGTATATCAAGCTACTATAATAACTGCAATATAAGGAAAAGAAAACAATATGTACCCTGGAGTATCTGAACCATTTGACAAACATGTAGAGGGAGGATGCCTTCCTGGCAGAGGAATGTGGAGTGACTTGAGAGCAAACATCTGAATATCTGTGGTTAGGCCATTCAATCGTTTAATGTCAGCCACCTGAAGGTATCAATGGAGAAGCGCTCCCTTCATAAGTGACCACCATTTGGGTAACAGAAGGAAAATCGAAAGGGAGACGATACAATGCATATCCCACGATAAGGATGTAATGCACATAAACAGAAGGTGTTAAATGATATGTGAGAAATCAGCAATTGCAATAACAGCGATAATTTCGTTACCAATGTTCATGGTCTCACCTCTATTATCCTTTCACTTGGCAATAAGAAAATCACATGCTTATAAACATGGAAAGTCATTATTTCTGAACATTTCCACCTGTTCATCACCCTCATACGCTACTTCAGGGAAATGTAATAGAAGAACTGCTAATGAAACCGCATATCAGGCATTCTCAGCGCATTGCATATTCCAATGGAATTCAGGATCAGACACAGAATCAATTCTAAGCTCGAGTTTTTTTATCCAACAATCACCGACACAAACGCCACCTTCCGATGAATCGGTCCTTCTGACGCTCATTTATATCATTCCAAATACGAAAGCGGAGGCACGTCTATTATGAGGAAATAAACGAGAACATCAGCATCCGTACCTCAACACCGTATCTGATGGCGACGCCGGCAAGAGTGTCGAATTTGGAAACTGGATGCTCGATGTAATTCCCACCGGACGAGGACGACGAAGCCAGCTGCGAGGGCGATCCCGGCGAGACCGGATACAGCTTCACAGCCGGCGAATCGCCGTATCCACCGTACAGATCGATCTCGTGACCGCGGCCACCGCCGAAGACGCCGACGACGCCGCCGCCGTCCCCATCGCCGGCGATCCGATCCGCGGCGTCGCCGCCGCCGGAGAACAGAAACCCGTCGCGATCCGCGTGATTCCCGTTCCGCCTCTCTATGGCCATCCCGATACCATCCAAGACAATCGCCGGATCAAGGAAATGGATCGAGCAAGCAGACGAGCATGTAGCAAGCCTCCCAAGTCGACGACCGAGGGGAGAGAAGAAGGGTCGGATGAAGCTTCGCACAATGTCGAAACCGGAAGCGAATTCGAGGTTCGATCTCGATTAGAAACCCTAGATCGGAGCGCGAGGTAGAGAGCGAGTAGAGGGGGGAGGGGTTGAAGAAGCCGATGATGATGTCTTTTGGTTTTCAATTTCGCTCCATGGAATGCGGGGCTGAACTGAAAAAATTTGAGATTGAGAGGTCTCTCTTTCTCTCTCTGTTGCGCCTTCTCCTCCAATTTAGGAGGAAATAAAACGAAATAACAGTGAATGGTTTTTTTTTTCGAAAATTAATAAGAGTTATGTAAATATATATGTGAGAAAAAGATTTTACTTGATTTGCTTGTAAAATAGTCAAAATATTAAAAAAGTATTTTTGTTAAAGGTAATCTAAGAAAAGTGACCATTTTTATCACACGAAAATTTTTTGCTCTACACGTAATTTATTAATGTTTGAAGAGTGAATATTTTCCTTATCAATCAAATTTACCAGGTTCACCACTTACTAGAACAGGTTCCTATATATTTAACGTTTGTATTTAAGAAATCTTATAAGGGTGAGTGATTCCATGTTCCATACAGATTTCACCTAAAACTGTGAAAAGAAGATCCTCATTTTTTGGAATCCAAAACTTCTCTTGCATACCCTAGAACTTACCTTGTCACATATTTCATGGTCTACCCAGATTATACCTATATTATTAATTGAATAATTGAATTGAATTATCACCTTTAATGACCATAACTTGCTGTTACAATTCACTGACCACAACTTATATTTAAACATACGAAAAATATGAAGCATTAACAAAATAATAATCTCAATCATAAAATGACAGTTCAGACTAGTGGTTCCAGATTATATACTTATCATCAGATGCCATGAAATACTATGGGATCGCGCGAAGACAAATACCAAGAGAAAACACAAAAACTTATTTCAAGTTTCAAGTTCCAAGTTCCATTTACCTAAAACTTAGAACCTACCCGTTGAAGCAAATTTCCCAATTTTTGGATATTGGAACGTACTCCACATACCCTGAAACCAACAAGTTGCCAACGGTTCGATTTTCAGGTTCTAGGTTCTACCCTGGAAACTTGCTCGCCCCGATGACCAAAATTTTGATATAGGTCCTTGATAATCTAACTAGTAAATCCTACCGGGCTTTGCATTTTCGAAGTTCTTTAATTTTCAAGAACTTCTCGACAGCAACTCTATAAAATTTAATACCTCCGACTGTGTCCCAAAATGAATAGAAAGAGCTCCTACTTATAGAGAGAAATGGGAGTACTTGATCCTCGTGATTACCTCAGATTGGTCAAATAAAGATCGTCTATCAACAATGCATATTGGGACCTCAATTTATTTTGATTTAAACAAATACCAAATCAAACTTGAATTTGAAATGTGTAAATGCTAATTTAATTTAGCCTCGTCCAATTGATTAATATCTTTGTTCAAGTTTAATGTCCTGCTCATGAATATGTAACCAGATTTAATTGGACAATCACACTTGCAAAATAATTGCTGTGCGTTGGAACATCTATGCACTATCTTGTAATTAGCTCAAAATACATATTCTAACACTTACACCTAATATTAATAAGACATAGAAGTTAGAAGATGATAGAATATAAAAATAAATACTTTCTTCAATTTATTCTTTTCATCAAATTTAAACTCAATAAAAGACAACTTCTTTATACGCTTTCTCTTTATCTATTTTTCAAAATTCGAATTTAATGAGAGATAGATATTGACAAAATGTCAAATCCCTTAAGTAAAAATTGTACCACGTCTTGCCACATGATATTCACGAACATAAAGTTATGTGCCACGTGAGGAACTGAGCTTCGACTTTAACTATGTATAATAATTAGACGAGTAACCCATGACAGGGAACTTTGAGCATTAGTTACTCCTATCCAAGTTATTTCCAGATTCACTTACTTCTTACTTAAGAGTCTTTGCAGATGATTCGTGTTTATCTAGAAGTGGCAAAAGAAATATATTTCAGACAATCACGGGGAACATGCCATTTGAACCCCGCAGCAGAGTACGGAGACGAAGCGCCCCAGCCAGCGCCGCCGATGCCCGTGGGCAACAGAAATTATATATAATATGATAGTATAAAAGTATTCAGATTAATTCTGGCAATGCTCGTGATATTTTGATGGCTTCAGGAGGAAGGCACTTCACCACACAAGCACAATGTTCACCCAACTTGTTGAAATGATGATAAGAGCAAAATGCTGGGTGAATGCAGTCAAAAGATATGAAGGGTACAAGAGCGCGTCAGCAGATATAGGCTTACAAAACTGCTTATAATACAAGACAATACAGGCCTGAAGAATAAAAATTGGTGAGTACGACCAGAAACCAAATGGAAGTGAAGCGTATATGTTCATCTGAAATAAAGTTTGTTCAATCTCTTCTGTTGAAAGGTCATCCGACCACGAGGCAAACGGGCCCCATGGATGCAATCAGATTGGCAATAGAAAATACAAATAAAGAGAACTTAATATATTTACTTGCTGGAAGATGATGTATATTGGCTGCTCAGAAAGAAACTCTGCAGCACCTAGAAAGATACAACTTTATCCCAGATACCGGAGGAGTACACCATCGTTACCCAACACAAATCCCTTCTTATCATTTATGAACCTGGAAAAGAGAAATATCAGATCCTAAACTATTGGGCCAATCTTTCCAAAAAGCAAAATCATGTCATAAGGAACACTAAAATACGTAACAAAAGAATTAAGAGAGTAACTTCATCTCTAATGAGCTTTAAAAGTATGACTGTGGAATGAAGTACCCACAGAAAACACTGGAAGAGCCAGCATACTGGAGGTGTGACTACTAAGAGGAATAGATGTAGAGAGATCAAATCAGAAGCTGACGTCTCTATGAAGAACTTTAAATGTATAAAGTACGAACTCACTTTACTGAGTAAAGATTAGCAGCAATGTTGTCAGCAGCTTTGTCACGGATCCATGTCTTTCCACCATTGGTTGTTCTCAACAGAATCCCACTACCTCCTGCTGCCCAAGCCTCTTCCTGCAGCAACAGTAATATGATCAGCACAGGATAATGGATTAATGAGGAAGATCAGAAACTTTGGTAAAAATTCGTAAGACCAAACTATTCTAATAAATGACAGAAAAAGGCACATATTGATTCTTGTTTTCTCCTTTTATGGTTCGACTTTGAAAAGCTTCTCAACAGTTCTTTTTCATCCAAAAATGATTGAAATTTCCGAAAATAAAACCTAGAACAGTAATTTTATGAAAGAAAGCTTCCACTATTTGAATAATTTCACAGTGATATCAGAGTGACAATACGAATCACAGAACCTGTATCTTCAAGGAGTTATATCATGTCTGCAGTATAATCAACAATGTTTTTGTTGGCAACAAAGCTGGACGAGGAAAAGCTAAAAGGTGACTCTTTATGAAACTAGAGAGATTTCATCCCTAAACTTTTTTTACGATAGTAGAATAGAATGAGATTAGAATCCGATTCATATAGATGGTGTCATTTCCATTCAAGTACGGTATTTCTTTTCATTTAAATTTCCAATTACTGCAAGACTTCGTGTTTATTTGAGTACTAGAAAGACATACTGAATAAATGGAAGAGGTGATGGTTCAGGCAAATAAATCAAAAACATGTTGCTATTGCTTAAACAATTTGCCGTTTAATGTTTAAATCTTGTATATTTACCACGACAATTTGGTTGCATTGCATATCAATATACATTATAGGTGGGTATATGAATCGGATAACGTGAAGAATGATGCACAATCATCATCTGAGACAACTTATGTGTACTTAAGTCCTATGATGCATGTCCATTGCAGCAAATCCAGTAGTTCCATAGCCTTGATCTTGCGTTTGAGATTTAACTTCTTTAACACATGTAGAGAAAGAAATCAGCCGCATGTTTTTAGACCAAACCACAATCGTCCTAGGAATGGCACGACCTGTCACAGGATAGGACAGATGTAACTATGCAGCAAGACGACTCTAATAAAACGCATAATATTACCGGGGAACGGTAGCCAACATCAAGAATTCCAAAACCACGACTTTGTACAGAGACCTCTTCGAAGTCCTCCGTGATCTGAGAGTAAACATGAAATCAAGACTACGCCAAAGACTCAATAATTTGCTAAATGGACAAGAGTCGAAAAATATAAAATAATTTCATTTGGAGCCCATAACATTCCTCCATTAACTTACTCCAGTTCCTTTGCTGAGATAAAGTCCACCGCCACGAACAAGAAGCCAAAGGCCACCATCTGCCCTCCATCCCATATTTTGTATTCTTCTTGCAACTGCCCTATTATGGGGTTGCCAAAATGGCTGAAAATCATGTAATGAAGTTAGCAATGTTCTCAAGGTACAATAGGAATCAACGAAACACACAACTCAAAGCTACTCCACAAATGACAAATGAAAAAAAAGGTGATTTCAACTCTGTAGAGTGTAATGCAAAACTAAACTAGCAAGTGCAAGATAACACTAAATGAAACTTCTGGAAGTGATTCTACAAGGATAATACAGTTTCTGCGGAGACAGAAACACTATTGTTGTTAGCTAAAAACCACAGCGTTTAACAGGTTTGCCAGCAGGGATTTGCATCTTCAGCTATCTAAGCCATCCTCAACATTAGCATTACTGCTAGACATGCTTTTTGGTCATGCTCACCAATTATGTTGAGGAGCTTCCTTTCTTTTAGTTTGTCCATCCTGGATTAAATCACTTCTTCATACTTTTCTCAATAGGCCATCATTTCTAGATACCAGTAGTAAATCTATGAAGCATCAGTTCTGACATCTTTGAATGCATTGAGAAGACAGTGTAGTATAGTCCTCGCTGGATGTTTACACAGACCAAAAACTTCACAAGCTCAACACCACTGTAGTATCACCACATATATTCTGCATATATACTGCCTATGGGCCAACAGGCATTTGGTCCTGTTTGTAGGGTGGGGTGTGTTTCAGGGCATTTGCTGGGTTCCGATCCCAGCGTAAGCAAAGAATACATGTATACTGCCTCAGGCCTAGCTATCTTTTTTCTCTAGTTAAAACCCATTCAGATGGTGTAGGATGCATCTGTGATAAAAAGTTAAGCACTTATACTTTCCCCAAATACACGGACGAATTGAAAGCATCTAATAAGTTTTCAAATGGCCAACACCAACCTGCTCTACCTCTCTATTCTCTATGCAGTGAGCATATCTCATGCCAAAAAGTCTCCAACAATTTAGAGTTAGATCAGTGATATCCAGCAGAAAGTCACTTATCCTAAGCAATCAATTTTCTGTCAACAAAGACCTTTCTACTCACTTATCCTGATGAGAGATATTGTTTGCAATAAAAAACTTACCAAGTACAGCAAACAATTTCAATAGAGGAATAGAGGAACATTCCTTAATTCTAAGTTATCAAAGAAAGGATCATACAAGTGTTTGGCCAACGATTGCCCATAGGGCATCCTGGTTAAGTATTGCTAAACATAGTCTGATTGACATCGTCCATCATAAATTTGTCTCGGGATATCTTCACATCAACTTACCTATGATATTTGAATGTTCATACATGAAAACAAAGCCAGAAAAGTACCTGCCCAGGCTCCCAAGTCAGGTAGAAATTACCGCGGCTGGAGACAGCAACATAGTTTCCCTCAGGTGACCGGTTAACCGTGTTAAAAGTTCCAGTATAGTAGCTCGCACCACTGATCCCACTGGAAACTGTTCTGCATATGCAACAAAATTATGTAACCCTCTACACCAACGATGTTAACTTGGAAGACCAAAAAAAAAAATTTCACGTTCTATCTGGATCAAAGAACAAAGTAAGTACAAGCTTTGCTTCAGAATAGCTACTAACCAAAGTCCTTGTTATGACTACAAATGACCATTATCTATAGGAGGCAGAAATTTCAAGCTAGTAGAATTTGTTTGAAGTGAAAAACCTTGAATTTCTCCAAGAACAACTAGACATGTGGCTCCACTTCGAGCTATAATTTCTTTTCCTTCCCAACAAACACTGACTTACAAACTAAGAAGAATTAGATTGTGAAGAACTGGTACACATATAAAAAAATTTATAGAAACATCTCGCGGACTAAGAAAAATTTGATTGTGCAGGAACTGATACACGAACAAACTAGTGTATAGAAACCTCTCACTTATCCAGCCAAAAAAAAAGTACAGTAGCAATCAGAACATAAGTACGGTACTAAAATTAATCAATTAACTGATTAGAATAGTCGTATAACCATACTGCAAGCAATGGCAAACAAAGTTATTGATGTATCAAGCAATTGCACTGACCATGAAGTCATAACAATTCTTCATGCAGGGTAGAATTCTCAAAGAGTTTGACATGTTAAACAAGCATATCGAAGTCAGGAGTTGAGAATTTCTCTTAAAGCAGCATGACAATCCTAATTCATACAGGGGAGGTGAATATTACATCCATATGGACAAACTTTGACAGTTCATTGATTTTGTTAAAGAGGCTTTGCAAAGCAATCATTAAGCCATCTTTGGAGTAGACGCTGACCTATTCAGGGTGGCCGAAACAGTCTCTTGAACCGCAGCCCTCCAGTTATAACCTCTGTTCGACGTGATATATATTGCCCCTTGGTCCGTCACCATCTCGGCACTTTTTTCTCCAGTTGCCTTGATGTATACCTAGACATCTCAATTGACGACAATATCATTACCTTCACCATAGATGTGGCTCATAAAGCAGACTCTCTAAAAGAGCAATTTAGACAACAGGAGCTCTTACAATGTCTCCGGGAAGTTGAGAGCTCAGCGGTATTCTCTCCCAGGTTTCTCCAGCGTCCGAGGTGTACAAAAGGATAGAAGGCTTTCCAACAATCCATCCTTCTTTTCCTTTGAAGCTAATGGAATTGAACCTATAGTTGAAATCCTCATCTTCTGCCGAAGGTATCGAACGTGGAGCCCAAGTGCTTCCGCCATCTTTCGTTTCCAAAATGGTCTGCCTGGTCCCCAGAAGAAAACCTGAGCATCACATCAGGCAACAAAGGCAATCAGCACATAAAATCGAGCAGCTAGTATGATTCTGCTCCACTCATACATCGCCTAAGCCGCCCCATCCTTCAATAAAATGTACACAGAAATCAAACAGGAAAAAGTATATAGAAGCACATTTCAGCTCCAGATGTTGCTCAACAAGCTTCCAGTTACGTTTCCCGTTACGACCAAACCACCTTCTGTTATCCACAATGGGCTAACGGACTCTCTCCATTGCATAAAATTCTTGTCTACCAGTACACTCATCACTTAAGTTCCGGTCAAATCCAACCACAAAAATTCTCAGAGCACTACGTACGGAGGCCGAAAAGCGCGATTCGTTTAGGAACAAAAGCCAAAAACCTAGGAGCATTCCGCCATTACCGTGGCCCGAGTCGTCGGGGACGAAGGCGATGTCGAGGAGGACGACGCCGGGATCGATCGGCAAGAACACTCTCTCCCACTCGGAGAGGCCGTCGTCGCCCGCCCTCGCCGCGGGGGGACCGACGAGAGGGGCGGCGGCTAACGACAGGGAAGTGAGCGTCGCGAACTGCCTGCGACCGACGGGAGCGGGAGCCGAAGCCGAAGCCGAAGCCGAAGCCGAAGCCGACTGCTCCGACGAAGACGAAGACGAAGGAGGGGGAGAAGGAGAAGGAGCAGAGGAGGAGGCTTTGGTGAGGAGGAGGCGAGGGGAGGAGGAGGAGGGCGGCGGCTGGAGGAGGCGAGGAGTGGCGGTGCTGCCGGTGAAGAAGGAGGTCAAGGATGGCTTCAGCGCGGTGATGGCCATCTCTGTCTTTCTCTCTCTCTCTATCTCTTCAGAGTGTGGTCGCTCGCTTATCCGGTACTGCTCTCTCTCTCTCTATCAACGGCTACGCGGGCGATTTCCGCCTTCTCAAATCCAATTGGATGGGGACCCACCAAACCACCGCCGCCCTCCAAGTTTCTGGATCATTTTATTTCTCCTACTACTTTTTCTTTTCTTTTCTTTTTCTTTTCTTTTTGAATCGATTTCTCCTCGCAAAAAATCGAATGTAAATATTTTCTTTTAGTCAAAAGAATGTCTATAATCTACTGCATATGCTTTAAAATGACAAAAAAAAATCACAATTTCATGGTCTTCTTGAAGTAGCTTTAACTCTCTGTAATTTCCTATTTTCTACCCATTTTTGAATATTCGAAATTTGGATTTCTTCACTCATTATTGGATCTTTGGAAATTGACTTAAATTGGTATTTTGCAAAAACCATCGATACAAAAAGTCTTTTCAACTTCCAAAATTTTAATGAGAAAGTAAAAGTTGGCTATGAAAAATTCGAAACCGACACATAATTTGTTTTTATAATGCATTTGAATTTGCTCAATACTTTTCGGCAGGAAGTAGTTAACAAGAAGCAAGGAAAAATGTTGTAACACAAGCAATCAAAAAATACGAAAATTTCATCCGAGTCACCGCACATCAGAGTTATTGATTTTCACGAGCCTCATAGAAAAACATAATGACACGATCCGACGATTATGATGCACCAAACCCGACAGCGGCACCGCTATTTGAGAATGAAAGGGGCCAAAAAAATTGACAAAAGGGACATCGGAGGATATTATTTTGGAAAGGAAAAGACATATTCGGTTTCAAGTCACCTTTGTCTACCGTATGTTAAGGACGGTCCCTGTTCGGACAACGAGAGCTCCTACAATAATTCGAAGGAGTTCAATGAGTATTGAGAACAATGGTGATGATGCTTGATAAACCCTCACCATGGCCACTTGATCAAAATTTCAATTCAGAGAGATTGTACCGAAACCAGCTCATAGTATTAAACTCTGGCGCGCGTTTTAAAAGCTGAATCACCCACTGCAGTTAATGGCGATGAATGGATCTCAGCCTAAAGCTCGCTTCCATGAGTAGTTTACTAGTCACTCATCAAGGGAAAAAGAGGGGAGATTGGAGAAGAAAGCAGAGGAAAATATCAGTAAACAAAATGTCCGATGTCCTGCTTTCCTGATGTATTAAGGAATAAATTTCTCCCTTAATAGAGAGGTGGGAAAAATATGACGTAATGAATCCAACATTACGGTATCAACACCGGTCCATCTTCGCTCGTCTATAGTGTTTATTTGTCTGATGATTTGCATTAGAGAAAGGGGAAACCCCAAGCATGAAAAGAACAAACATCGCCAAAGACGAAGATTAAAGAGAAAAAAATGGAGCATTGACCTCGTTTAAAGATTCTGCAAATACTATATGAAGGCAAAATGCTGACAGACAACCGCATCGTCAATTGACAAGGCCTCTCTGCTTGAAGACCTCGAACATGGCCGAACCAATTTTCGCGGGAGACTCCACCACTGTAACACCAGCTTCCCTGAGAGTCTTGATTTTGTCTTGAGCCGTGCCCTTCCCTCCGGACACAATAGCTGTAAAGCAAGAAGATAGCCAACAGTTAAAAGGGTCTGATAAGGAGATGGTAAGTATAGAAAAGTTCCACGAATGCTGGGACTCGGTGAACATGGGGTGTTTGACGCACTCGCCCGTAGACCTTTTAGCTGTCACTGTTTCACCTATAATAGAAGCCACTCTTCAAGGCAGAGTGGGATTGGAATTACAGAGCAAAGTCTGAGGAAGAAAACAGTTTGCTTCACCAGCAAGACTGATACAGAATCAGGTATAAAATTATAAATGAAGACTTGGAAGGTCAGGTCTAAAGGATGAATGCTTGGAGGGAAAAGGGATAATCAGGATAGAGTAAGCACTGGACGACATCATGTTGGCTAATCCACACAAAAGCTAGCTAAAGTTCCCAATAGGACTTATCCCCCATCATGCTCTCCTATGTATAATTCCTGAATACTTAGAAAAAGCCAATTCTACTTAAAATTTTTTGTTCAACAAAGATAAAACGAGCACCATTAACGTAAGCATGAATGCATTCAGAGCTCAACAAAGAAAGAAAAAGTACCTCCAGCATGACCCATACGACGCCCAGGAGGAGCAGTCAGTCCAGCGATAAATCCTACGACAGGCTTCTCTGTCTTGCTTTCCTGTTTGACATATCACATTGAGTAAAGATGTTGATACAGAGACTAGAAAGATTTAGATGGCAGTATACTACATATAGGAGTAACCTGCAGACTGTGGAAATGGTAACTATCCTTCAAATGTCTCAAATCTTAGTTGTACTTCAGAAAAACCCCATATAATATTGCAACCAGACATGGTAAAATTTTTACACCATGAAGTACATTCTTATCGGTATCCGTTGGTAAAGAAGTACCCAAGTCCTTGAGGCTCCAATCAAACTCAAGAAAGCAACACAAGCAGTAGAAAAAAATTCTGAGCTAATGATTTTTCTCCAGCAGCATTTGACTGTTCTCTATCACGACATACAGAGAGTGCAAATTGGAATAATGTCCCAGAAAGTAAACTAAGGAGTGAGAAAGGGGGAAACCTAATACTGAATTTAATCTATTTCATAATTATGACATGCTAACTATTTGTCTTGCTTGCTGCTAGCAGCCAATTTGTTATGAGCACATAGGTAAGCAAGTTGGACTTTTGAATGAATGCTCTAGGAGCTACAGGGGAAATCAGCTCACCAATATCCTTGAATGCAAAGAAGTAGAAATTCATGTCTCACGCAAAAGAAAAAAAAAAGCAAGAAATTGATTAAGCAAAGAAGAAGAGGCCAGATTACAGAACTCACATGTGCATAGGGATATACTATGTATACATGCAAAAACAATAGTACAGCAGTAAAAGCTGTTTGTCAACGCGATTTATAATAGAGCCAACATTACTTTTTTAGATTGTAAAATTTTGCAAGCAAACTGCAAATATTTTGAGGGAATTGACCTATAATATCTGACCTTAATTAATGCAGCAGCATCCTCTTCTGCAGTGCCGCCAATTTCTCCAATCAGAACAATCCCTGAAGCATGCATAACTTGGTGAGTAACTACCTTCAAATCTATCGTGTTCCTCTTTCTCATCAGTCAACAACTGCTATCGGAGTTAACAATAGTAATACAACTTAAATAGAGTAATTAAATCATTATAAGGTAGATACATATGCAAGCAGCGTGTACAAAATAAAGTTCAAGAGTTATTTTTATTTATTTATTGAACTTCGAGAACTCTTATGAAATCAACCAATCAACCAGAGGGGAAGATGAGTCCACTGAGAGAAACTTCAAAATTGTACAGATAAAAGACATGCAATCTACCTTCTGTCTGAGGGTCTACAAGAAACTTCCTAATGCAATCAACAAAATTTGTCCCGTTGAATGGGTCACCACCAATGCCAACACAAGTTGATTGTCCCAGTCCAACGGCAGTTGTCTGGAAAACCTGCAAGGAGTTATAAACAGAATCAGTTTTGTGCCTATCTGTCTTGACATGAAGATGTACAGAGAGACTAATGAAATCAAACACGTTTACATAAACATGTGATACTCAACCTACAGCAGAGTTTTCAGAAGCTAGTGGCCTGGGGTGACCATAGATCTCAGGATTCACCCTTGCACACAAAAATCCATGATGGACAACCCCCATTCAACTAATAACCTCTCTTATACGTGTACATGGTTCAAGCCAGCCATCAGGGCAATGACTGTGGATTTGTTTATTTCTTCACCAACAGCCAATTGAAGCACTGAAAGGACCAATAGTGGCAAAAGCCTAGAATGTGAAAATCAACCTAAGGGCCAGAGATTCTTAAATATTTTGAAGTTCGAATTTCAACGCAGTTCAGAAATAATTTAAAGAGATTTAAAGGGTTTATCTATCCAGCTTCTTTCTGATGGTGAACAGCATTACTCCTCTTTTAATGGGATTATTTTCTAAGTAGAATTCAGTAGCAGACTTGCAGTTTTTAATTTGAAGACTCTCATCCTCTTTCTTGAGGAACTAATTTTTATGGGATTAAATAACATAATTGTTTCTATTCTCAAATGTTATCTAGTTTTATTAGTTACTTGCAAAAATAAAATATATCTTTTGTTTGTGATCCTAAAAAGGTTCAATATCTTGCAAGCCTAAGTTTGTCACGCATCTCCAAGTAAATAAAACTTCATTTTCTCCACATATTTTAGGTTATCCCACAAGAAATGCTTAGATCCTAAGACTGGCTAATGGAAGTGGGCCACCTAGAGTATGAGGGTTACTATGTGTTTTGGTTCTCCTTATATAAGTTTGGGTTTTCTCTCTTTTTCTCTTGATCAGTTGTTGAATGAGTTCTGTCCGATTCAGTGACTAATTCTCGACTACCGCATTTAACACTCCAAACTCACATACTCTAGGGAATTTCGTAAAGTTAAATGTGCATGGAATACAGGCATCCGTAAAACTCAAGACAACCCGCTGAAACTGATACAATGCAACGAAAATGCTTACTGCCACTTGATTTGCTGAACCAGGGAAGGCTAGCAGACAAGAGTTTTTTCTTTTTTGTTCGCTTAGAATATTAATAAACTAGGTTAAGGACTGTAAACATCAAGTCCTACAAGACCCACTATTGGGATTTCAACACCAAATGAATTCTAAGTGTTTCAGCTGAGATACTTCACTAAAAGTGGCTAAGTATCTTTTTCTGATACTATATATAGAAATCAGGAAAAAAATTTACATCAGCCATACCATATATGTACTAAGGATGATAGTAGAGGTCCCAAAAAAATATAATGAGTTGCCATGCCAACAAACAACGAGCATAGAAAATCTCCGGATCAAAAGAGCCAAAGGGTAGAAAATCTCCAGATCAGAAGAGCCAAAGGGAACAAAGCCACAAGAAGAATATCTTTACGGCAAGAGGATCCAATAAACAAAGAACATGACTTTTAATCCTTCCACTAAAAATGCTCTAGTTATGC